AAAAAAAAAAAAGCATTTAGAAGCAATCAGCCCTAGGACATGATAGCCCTCAAGACCAGAAGAACAGGATGGTACTCGGCTACCAATGCCAATCACTCAGGAAGGGATCAAATCTGGAGATCCTGAATAGTTGTTGTTGTTGTTGTTATGTGCCGTCGAGTCGGACGCGACTCATAGTGACCCCTTCTTGGGTTTCCGAGGCAATCCTGAATAGAGTGGGAGGAAAAACATGGAACAAAATCCAAAAACTCAGTAACGACCAGAATTACTGGTCAGATGAAATCTGGTGAGACCCCCATACTATGGCCCTGAAATACATTCAGTGCCTGGAATACAACTCACCCCCAGGGGCAGGCTCTCAGCCCAATATTTAACAAGATGTGCACGCAGACCACTCAACGCAGGATGCCGCACCCACACACTCAATAGTAATACATCCCTTAGAGCAATAGACCATGGGACACCAACGGACCAACATTCAAACTGAGGAAATGCAGGACAAACAGGAGTGCATGATTATGAGGGGCACAGGGGGAGGGTTGCAGGGTAGGGAGGGGAAGAGACTGGGTTAGGGTTGGACATGGTGAATGGGGAATGAAACTAAATGTATTCGCGACGTTGAATGTAAAACAAGCTCTTAAAATAAAAAAAAAAGAAAGAAAATTACCACATGCAAAGAAAAAAAAACGCAGAATATAAGAAGAACCTCTGGCATGTGTGTCGTTAAGAGCAGAGACCATGGAGAACATCTGAAAGATGAAACAGAACTCGAGAAACCACCCACCCATGTGCACTTCTCTCATTTTTGCCTGTGCACACCTGGGTGCAAAAAAGAAACGGTGTGCCAGGGAGGGATTGTGAATGAGTCTTTTCTTTTTTCACCATGTTTTTGAGGTTTCTTACTATAGTATCTTAAAAAAAAAAAAAAAAAAAAACTGCAGCTAAGTTGTGGGGCAGAAGTTCAGAGCAGTTTGAGGGGCTACGTAAGGCAGACGGAAGGGAAAACATTTTCCCCATTATCAGTCATTTAAATATTAAGAAAAAATGGACTATGTGCTCACTGAGCAAGTAGATTTTGTTTTGGTATTAAGTGAACTTTGCCACTTGTTCTGTTGGCTTTGAAACATGCTAGTTCTGATTCAGAGATATTTCCTAGTATTGCTTTCTCTCTGACTGTCCTCAACCTTACTTAAGGGTTTTTTATCAAATATTTTGCTCTGTTGTTGAGAACTTTCCTCAGTGAGGTCAGGTGGTTTACTGAAAGAATTACAAAACTCCAATAAAATCTAGCTTAGCGGAATCGTCCTTCTGAAATGTGTGTGTGTGTGCACGCATGTGTGTGTTTTCTGACTCATATGTTCCTTATCCCTAAGGTAAGATTAGACAAGAAGACCTTAGGAGCAGGAGCTGGTGTCTTTTAACATGCTTTCTGCCATACTTCTCCCAGTGGTTTTCCAGAAAAGGGAAAGGCCTGGGGTTTTGTCCATTACGGCTGTGTAAAGGCATTCACTTGCGCCTCCACTGTGTACAATTGGCAGGCTCCGGCAGGGCCAGGGGCCTCCAGCACAGATGCCTGGAAAAAAGACTGTTACACAAATAATAGAATCAAATAAGACAGTGGGAGATTGCTATTCGGCCTGAGCCTGCCTTGGGGTTTTGGCCTCCCCTGCAGTGTTAGCCCCTATCTTATCTTGTGGCCCTAGTTAGCCAGCTCCAGGCCAAGCCCCTTGTGAATTCCCCCATCTCCACTCTTATCAAATGTACAGGATCTCCCACTTTGAGGAGGCTTGTGTGACTCCCAGGGCCCATTCCTTGGTTCTTCCAGTCACTAAGGATGTAGATCATTCCATGGAAGGGCTGGTACTCTCCCTTCATCCAGTCCCTTTGGGGCATTTTGGAAGTACTCAGGGGCCTTAGTGTCCCCAATGTGGGCTGTTGGATCCCTCCTTTTCTCAAGTGTGACGCCTGATGGAATCACAGATGTGGCCTGTCACTCCTACCTCCCACCCTGAAGTCTTGTTTCTCCTTTTCTTTCCAGCCAATGCCATTTTTGGGTGACCCATACTAGGCACTTGGGTTCTAAATTCCTCCACAGTTAGGTTTCTGCTGGGGAGAGGGGATGAGGGCAGGAGGTGGAAAGGTGGAGGGTGAACAAAGTCGATTGCTGCCTTCAGAACTCCAAAACATCAGATTGTTCATGGACAGAGGAAAGGGTGGGTAGTACCACACAGTCCTGGAAAAATCAACAACAGACAATAATAGCAGTCTTGCTTCACACAGCTTCTGCTGCCAGCTGTGCAGAAAGAGCCAGCCTTTGAGCTCCAGCAATGGGCACTTACTAACTTTAGTCCTTTAGAATTTTATCTTTGAATCTCTTTAGCGAAAATGAAGAAAGAAAGGCTGCTTTGGTGCTCTCCAAATTAAGACTCCTCTGACTAGTGTTGTTTGTCTGTTAAGGATTAAGTGAATTAGCACTTTGGGGGTCTCATTAAGGACTTATAGAGCCAGGGTTCTGGGATATGGGTGGGGGGGGGTGGGATTGGGAAGGGGGCCTTGCCAGGCCCCGAGCAGAGCCCCTGGGTGACCAAGCATCTGCCTGTGTCTGCAGGAGACCCTCTGCAGTGTGGAGCCTGGGTCGGGCAGTGCACCCTCTACATCATCATCATGATTTTTGAAAAATCTGTCGTCTTCATTGTCCTCCTGATACTTCAGTGGAAAAAGGTTTGCCCATCTTCCCAGGCTTTAGGTCCTTGAGAAACTAAGCAAGACACCACTTCTTCCCTATCACCCACCCCCACTGCCACTCTTGGAAAATCAAAGTGTTGTTTCTCACTTTTTGTATTTAAAAAAGAAAGAAAGAAAAAACTCTTGAAAACACCCTGGATTTGGTTTGGTATGGCAGCTACTGGCTGGCTTTCAAGAACGTTAGCTTGCCATTGTTTTACTTAGCATCCATCCACTTTATTTATACAAATGGCTGATGTAGATTGTTATTGTTAGCTGCTTTTGAAAGCCTTGGCATATAGTAAACTAATAAGAATGCACAGGCCCTGCCCTGGGATTGTCCTGTATGATGTTAGTCTCCAGGCCTTGTAGCTGTGTCAGGAGGATGTTTTCTACATTCACACACACTTTTCTCTCACAGCTCCCTCGGCCAGTGGTTTAATGGAGATTTTTGGTGTTTTAGTCTGTGATCACCACCGTGATGACAAGCTAAGCCCACAGGTTCCCCGGGCCTCTGCCTTCTGACCCCAGTGCTGTGGAGATATGCCGTCACAGCTCATTCCCAGGGGACGCCTATCTGAAACCAGCCTAAGAGCCTTTGGGAAAGAGCAACTCAGATCTTGGCCTTGTTTTGATTTTATTTGTGGCTGAGTTTTGTTTGGGAGCTTTGGTGGTGTAGTGCCTAAGGCATTTGATTGCTAACCGGAAGGCTGGTGGTTCAAACCCACCAGCCACTCCAGAAAGGAAGTTTTTTTTTTTTTTTTAAGAAAATAAGCAAAGGCTTTTCAGAGCCATTGGCCTTCAGAAGGTGATTGGGGTCCAGATTTCTGTTGGGAAGTGGTCTGGCCTCACTGCTGGTGTGTGTATGGAACACCCACTGACCTCAATCTCTCCCCACCCCCATGATCCCTGAAGTCAGCACTCCCAGCCTGAGGGCTTCAGGTTATACCTCGCCTTCCAGGAGCCATGATGCGACACCACACTGAGGGAGTTGCTGGTAAGACCACTCAAAGTGGTCTCCAAAGTGGGCGTGGTCCTCATTAACTGTCACATCTGTATAGCCTGCTCCCATCAGGGGTCTGGGGAAGTGTCTAAGCTGAGCTCCCTTCTCACGGCCTCATGGTCCTTTCCACTACCATTCCTCCCTCAGGCTCTTTCTCTGTGGTCTTCCTCAACCTCACTGAGTCTGCTTCTCTTTACAGGTGGCCCTACTGAATCCCATTGAAAACCCAGACCTGAAACTGGCCATCGTCATGCTGATCGTCCCCTTCTTTGTCAATGTCAGTGCCCTGTTGCATTTTGTACCCCAGTTTACTCCCTGCTTTCCAGGGCTCCTGTTCAGAGTTCTGAGTCTGACAGAGAAAACTCACGTTGTAGCCCTCAGGTCCTTCTTACAGCTGTCTGTGTGAGCATTTGCCACCCTGCTTCCCCTCTCTACCTGCCCCCCACCACCCCCAGCCTGGAGTGACAGGATTGCCTTCTCGGGAAGCAGACCCCAGTCTAGGGCCCTTGTGTAAGGTGAAGGGTCCCAAGCATGTTGTCTTGTCCTCTCATCCAGGAGTCCTCTGCTGAGGAATCCTACCCTAGTCTAATGACTACTTGTGGATTAAGGTCCTATGAATTCCCCCCAGTCTTGTGTTACTGACTCAGGTCACAGAGAAACTCTCAGGCACAAGGGCTAAAATTAGGAAATAGTAGGAGGAAATGGTGAAAGAACCTGGGGCAAACAGATGATGACAGTGTGGCAGCCACCTCAAGCAGTCCGTGGGGGCCTTGACTAGGTGTGCAGAGAGCTTAGTCCCAGGCCTGCTCTGCCACCTGCTAGGGCAAGGGCAAGATAGGGGTTCCCCATCAAGTACCCTCAACAGAAACCCCTCAGGTGAATTGTTGTGTGCTGTTATGTCAGTTCAGGCTCGTGGCAACCCTATAGGTCAGAGTGGAACTGCCCCAAAGGGTGTCTTGGGCTGTAATCTTTGTGGAAGTGACTGCCACATCTTTCTCCCAGGGCGTGCCTGGTGGGTTTAAGCGTCTGACCTTTCTGTCAACAACCAAGTGCTTAGCCATTGAGCTCCTTTCTCAGGTGAATAGGGCAGGGATTATCTTGTGGGTTCTATGATGAGAAAGCTGAAGCAGAAGAAACAGAGATAAGGAATCCCTTTCTGGGCTTCAGAGAGTTTGAAGGGACTTAGATGAGTTTTTTCTGCCCACATTTGTAGATTTTACAGTCTGGAGTAGGGGCTGGGGCTGCTCTACACTATTTTGCTGAATGGTTTCTCCCAGAGTAACCTGTGCTGCTTCTTCCCACAGGCTTTGATGTTTTGGGTAGTGGACAATTTCCTCATGAGAAAGGGGAAGACGAAAGCTAAACTAGAAGAAAGGGGAGCCAACCAAGACTCGAGGAATGGGAGCAAGGTCCGCTACCGAAGGGCCGCGTCCCATGAGGAGTCTGAGTCTGAGGTAGGGGCCCCTTTGACTCTGGCCAAGGGCTGTGCCATCCTACTGGCTAGTCAGGGTAGTCTCTGGTCTCGTGTTTGTATATGGCTTTTGTCTCAAGTGCTGAGTCACAGTGCCAGCCAGGGGAGGGAAAAGAGGCTGAGCCCACGAGTGGCCCAGGTCACACACAGCTCCCAGCCAGGCCAGGCCTGGCCTCTCAAGCACCCATTCCCACTGTCCCACAGGCCTTCCAAGGGCTGGAAGGCAGAGAACCGGGTGAAAATTGTTTTCTCTCTGATAGTCTTTCAGCTGGTGGAGAATGACCAGAAAGGGAGGAGCTGCCTTGTTCCAGAGAACCTGGCAGGGATCTTAATAGTTGACCTTTAAGCAGTAAGGTGTTTGAATCGCTACCCACCATGAAAAAGCAAGGGGAAATGATGGTTAAGCCAGCTGGAAACTTCTAAAATATAAGTGTAGCAGGACCTCGTGGGAGGAACCTCATCTCCCCTTATTTTCATGTCTCCTGAGTTCAAAGGTTTAGACTACACAGAGACTGGAGGTCATTAAGTAGGAGCAAAGAGGCAAGAAGCTGAATTGCTGGAGGGCCCGCAGCACTCTCCTCCCACCTCTGTGTGCTGGAGGCAAAGCCAGGCTACCTCATGCAAAAGCCTTGTAGAACACAGTAACAGTGCTGGGTGCGGGAGCCCCAGAAACGGCTGGGACTAATTCTTCCTTCAAGAGGCCTTCAGACTGGTGGGTGAGGTGAATACATAAATAGTTCATTGTAACCTTTGGAAGTAAGTGCTGAAGTTGAGACATAAACAAAACACTGACAGGACCCTGAGACAGATGTTTAACTCCTGGGCATCCTGGAGGAAGCTTTGAAAGATGAGTAGGAGAGGGTGAGCTCCTATCCCCTCCATGTGTATCCCTGGAATGTGGTTCAGGGCCTGTCACATTGTAAGAGCTCAGTGAAAATTAGGTGAATAACAAATAGTGTCCCAGGCAACACCATAGCTCATAAGTAATCATGATCATATGGATTAGCATCTGGGTGATAGTGTGACACTCACTGTGGCCAGAGCAGCATGTGTATTAGAGTGTGGGACAGAATGACAAGAAATGAGCTAGATGGGCAAAGGGCTTTGTGACCCAGGCTGAGGACTGGGACGTGTTCTGTAAGTGGTAGAGAGCTAGTGAGAAGCTTTATTCAGGGAGGCAGGAGCAGACTGTGGGCGAGGAACCTACCAAGGCATTGGTCCATGGGAGAGGTAGCAAGGCTGCTTGCCCTGCCCTGAAATAGAAGGGGTTGGTATTCCCCTGCACAGGTGGGCATAAGCCTCCTGAACCTGACCTAGGCTGTCCCATTCTTTCCCTGTTACCGGGAGTTCCAAGAAGCCAGGCAGGAGGTGTGTCAGTCAGCAGTGAGAGCTGCACAGCTCAGTTGTTCCAAGGGCTCAGAAAAGTGAGGCCACTCTGGAATCCCTTTGCCTGTGTGTCCCCCACTAAAACCAAAAAACCAATTCCAACTTATAGCAACCCCTGTTGGGGTTCTGAGGCGGTAAATCTTTATGGAAGTAGATTGCCCAGTCTTCTTTCCGTGGAGTGGCTGGTTTAACGGTCAAATGCCTTAGGCAGTACACCACCAGAGCTCCTTGTGTCCCCCACAGACATTGTCTTTTCCCTTTGAAAGGGCCTTCCAGTTTGCTTTTGGTATATTTGAGGCAGTTGCTGGGACCCAGGACTCTATATGTCCAGATTGGGTTTTCTTGCCAGCATGGCTCAAGCTGCAGATCACCATTAAGTTTGCTCTGTTTGGCATCTGGTTCCAGCTGAAGGTTGGGCAGAGAATTGGGGAACCTTAGCAGAGGAGGAGTGTCTGTCGACCTTGTGCTGGTTTCCAGTCGATAACGAATGCACTGGGAGTAACTGAGTCTGGGTAGTGCCAGCATGCCTTATTCTATAAAGGGAGCCTTCTCAAGGGGCCAGCACCGTGATGTCTGGGACCCAGGGAAGGCAAATAAGGAAGAGGGCTGTGCTGGCAGTGACTCAGGGCCATGCCTCTCTGCTGCCTCAGATCCTGATCTCGGCTGATGACGAGATGGAGGAGTCTGATGTGGACGAGGACCTCCGCAGACTGACACCCCTAAAGCCTGTGAAGAAAAAGAAGCACCGCTTTGGACTGCCTGTATGACACATTCCCATGCTGGGAGTGACAGGGTTGGGGCCCAGCCAGCTGCTGGGCCAACAGATGGTCATTCCGCAGCATCTTCCTCCCTTCTCTCTCTGCCCCCTCCTCTTCTACCTCCACTCCTCTTGCTGTCTCTGCCCACTCTCCCCGCTCCCAGACTACTGTGACTTAACAAGAGGGACGACGAACCAGCATCCGAGGGGGCCGTGGGCAGTCAGAGGTCCCCAGTTCAGTTGCACTACAAACACTGACCAAATATGCAAGCGAGGAGTTATGTTTGTGTGTTGTTGTCCTGAACCATGTTGTAAGGGACCCAGAGCCCCTGTTCTGTGTCTGACCTGGTGGCGTTGTGGAAGAACACATGTGTGCATACGGACGGTGGGCGTGTCCTTCACTACAGCCACGGGGAGTATGAGAACGAGACTCGTTTGGGGATAAGAGTCACTCGTTGACCAAGTTGGAACCGGTGTGCTTTCTTACTCGAGATGGCTTTTGTAACCACTGATTTCTAATGCCGGTTTTATGAGCTGTCACAGTGTTAATGTTTTTTGAGTATGTGTTTATTTCCTACAGAGTACCTATGGGACTAATGGGCAAAGCATAAATTTTTAAGTCTTCCGTATGCTCTTTGACTTTTATATTTTTAAGTTATATTTTCATACTATTGTATTTAAAAAGCTCTTTTTAATCCTCAAAGAAGTGGGTTTGTCTGCCTTCTGTGGGGTATGAACTGGTAGGAGGAGAAAAGTCAGGAGTTTTTTATTTGGAATATCGTTAGATGAGATGAGGCGAGGAAGGAGGATGGCCTTTGACCTGAAAGCCCAGTGGTCCTGTGAGGGTCAAGTGTGAGCAGGGTCAGCTGGTCTTAGGGTAGCTCTGGGTGCCCAGCGTGTGAGGAACCGGAAGGGCTCTGCTCAGGCCCAGGAGCTCTTTGCCATTTCTGCTGTTGAGTTAGAGGTGTTGGTCCTGATAAGTTAAATCTGACCAAGAAAGGCACTAAAGAGGTCTTTTTATCCAGAGAAATTGAGACTGCCAGGCCACTCTCATGTGTCCCCTGCCTCTCTTCAGAGCCTTCAAGTCTGACGTTTAAAATGTCCACTCAGCCTCTCCACCTCCCACTACTGCAGCCTCTGGTCCCAACTCTGGGACCCTCCTCTTATGCTGGCCCGGGCCCATCACCTCAGTGAGTGTCATTAACTTACTGTGTTTAACAGTCTGGAGAACTCCTACCTGACCAAGTGACCCTGCTCCTCACATCCTCCAGAGCTGTGGGGGCCTGGGGTAGACAGAAGTGAGAAAGCTCTCTGAGTCTACGGTGAGGACGAGATTCTTCTAGGCCTCTCTGGGGGTTGCCCCCTCTCCTCAATGTGGGCACAGGCCCCTGTGACGTTAGGAATTGGCTGCATAGCAGTGGGATGGGTACAGGCTTACTGAAGCACTTTTTCCCAGTGTGGAGCCTCGTGCAAGGTGAAGCAGCCCAGGTTTGTCTCAGCCAGGCAGCGCCATGAGAGCTCAGGAGCAAAACTGCACAGCCATTGTGCAAGCTGGGAATGGAACAAGTGTAGGGGAAGACACTCAGAGCCCTCTTAGACATATGTAACAACATGCATTACATGCATGAGGGTCTGAATTGTGGTGTATGGCAAGCTGTTGAACTGGGTACCCTGAGACTGTCCTCTGCTGACCTAATGGTCCCACTTGTCTGCCTGGACATGGACAAGTCTTAGAGTGGTGTTCTTGGCACATGTTACCCCAGAGTCCAGGAGCTGAGAGGAGCCATGACTCTAACAGCAGTGAGAAGTGGTTCTGCTTGTGTGGGCATCTATGCAGCCAGAGAGGAAAGGCCAGGGGCCAGTGGCACATGAGATTGGAATCCAGCTCAGGGCTTTTATTGCTTCCCCTTTCACTTCTCTCTGCATCATCCCCCACCCCCAGTCCTATTGCTGTGTCAGTGGATCTTTCTCTGCTGGTTCTCTAGTGAGGAAGAATGGCTGGAGCCAGGCCATCGTGAGTTGCATTGGGGAAGACCAGGGCTGACTTGGGTCCTGGTAAGGCAGTCAGTCACTCATGGCATCACTGCTCCTCCCAACTTCTCCCTCCTGTTTCATTTTATCTGAACAGGCTGTGTGCACAGCTGTTTCTTCTTCCACCTTCCTACAACTCAGAATCAGAGCTTCATTTTCAGTCTTGAGCTCCTGATGTTTCCAAACCAGAAGAGGGAGAGGTGAGAGAGAAAGAGCCATAATCTGTGAAAAGTAGAAACTCAAGGCTCACCCCAGCTCCACTAAGCAGTGAGTATAGGGGACAGAGAAGTAACGAGTAAGTGGTGTGTTTTCCCTGTATCCTGATTTTCAATAAGGGCTTTAGTCTCTGAGCTGCAGGTGTGTAGCTGGCTAACTAGGAGATAGATGTCTCCTAGGGTGTGTGATCACAGAGGGCCTTGGTATGTGGACTTGGACAGTTTGGCTTCATGGTTTTGGCCTTACCCTTACCCCAAGTGTACAGGTACATGCATACACACACCACACACACACACACACACAGAGTAACTAGGGGCTTTTCTGTGGTGCACTGCCCCAAGAAAAAATGGATGTGAGGCCCGTGGCCAGAACTTCCTCCAAGCTGCCCTCCCTCACTGGGGTGTGTTTTCTCATCACCTGCTCCGAGGTGCCTTAGGAGGTGCAGTTCTTCACCTGACCGGATAGCCAGATACAGGCATCTCCATGTTTGAGGAACAGTAGGACATCACCTGGATATAGTGCACTGTCAATCTGATTTGTTCAAATTTGGGCCTTGGCCAAGGCCCCCATGATGAAAACTGCAAGCCAAGGTCATGAACAAGTTTCTCAATATCAAACGAAAATCACCAAATGCATGGAACTGTTACATCTAATGGAGGGGACCGCTGTTACTGTCGATGGAACTTTGACAATAGCAACAAGGGACATCCATGAAAGCCCAGGTGACGGTGGCTTCTTCGTCCCCTAGACCTGAAGATGTGCAAATTGTAGGTCTGTGACCAGTTTGGCCTCTGGGTACACTGGTGGCTGCCTGCCTCAAGCTGTAACTTGTGCCCCTGCTGACATTCTGCCACAGGGAGTCATGGTTAATGTTGACCTATCATGCCTCTTTCTTCAGGGAGAACATACAAAGGCTCCGATCCAAGCTATAATTTTCTTTAGGCAGTGGGAGTCTGCCAACCATAGCCCAGGGTCCCCTTCTGCCCTGTCCTTGGCCAGCAGCCTACCCTTAGCCCCTGGGCTATGGTGTACTGGCCTTTGTGCAGCCAGGCTGACAAGGGTGGTTCTGGGGACTGCCCATGGGCTAGAGCAGCCACCCTGGAGGGTGCAGGCAGCCTTTGAGAAGAAGTCTCTTATGCTTCCAGCTAGAAACAGGAAGCATTCTCTTTTATACTAATACCGGCCGCTCCGAGGGGTTTGCTTTCGGCGAGGGACTTTCAGGCTGTCTTGGAATCAGCACCTTGAGCTCCCAGGTAGGTTGGTTTGATTGGTTGGTTTGAATTTGATTTTTCTTTTTATGAAATTTGTTACAAGTTTGCTATGTGAACAAAGCCCTGGCCCACTTCTGGCTGCCCTCCCAGTGCTGGTGTTTAATCGGTGATGTTAAGATTCACAAAAACAAATTTTTGAAATGAAAGGGAAGATGGTGTAGTTACGTTGTAAAATGGTTTACAATAAAATTTGACACCTTATTACCTACAGATTTTTTAAAAAAAAAAAACAAAACAAAACAACTCTTTTGTGGTTGTATGTTCTTTGGAGTTGAAATAGCTGTATGAGGTTAGAAAAGGCCCCAGTAAATTAGAAGTTTCTCCTCAGACAACGGAGAGAGACAGAGCCTTAAGTAGCGTCGTGTCCAAAGTGGGAACCAAGATGAGAGAAAAAAAACAAACCAACCAGTGCCATTTCTACTTCCTTGCTAATAAAAGTAGAGACTCCTCTCCCACCGGAGGAATGGCTGGCTTGGGGAGTTGGGTATAAGGATTGGACATCCCACATCCCTGTTCCTGAAGCCACTGGGCAGGAAGGCAGGTGTCCCCCCCCATACAGTCCAGCTGTGAGGGCAGCCTTAAAGTGTCAAGTACCACCTATGAAGGCACCCTTTGGCCCAGCAGTCATCCCAGCCTCTCCCCCATCCTGTCCTTGGCATAAGGGCTTCACAAGACCTAGCCTGCCCTCAGCTGCATTCTTGGCCTCTGGTCAGAGCCCCAGGGCTTATGCCGGGCTGTCCATGGGCATTCCTCATGTCAGCAATTGTCTCAGATTGAGCCTGGCTGGCAGTCCTCCTATTGGCCTCCTGGGGGCCAGGCCCAGACGGGGCATTAGGTGGGTTTTGAAGTATGATAGCAGTGGAGTGGCATTTAGGATAACCAAATGTCAGTACCCGCTTGGTTTCCATCTGCTTGGAGACTTCAAGGATAAAAATAATCTCCATCACAAATGTGAAAGGAGGCTCAGTATGTCTGAGCTATTAGGGAAGGCCCTGATCTCCTGCCCACATCCACTCTCACACCCTTCTGGGTCTTAGGGTCCAACTGTGGGTGTCAGGGTGGGGGGCTCCTTCCTTGTGAACATGTGGCCATTGGGTGTCTCTCTGAGGAGAGCTAAGTGACCTTTCAGGGGAGCCCTTAGCCTGCCCTTCACTACACTGACTGCTCAATACCTGAGATGGGCTGTTAGCTCCTATTGGCTTCATTCTCCTCATCCTCTTTCAGCAGCTTAAACTGTCCTGCAGGCCAGCCGTCTGTCGTGACCTCAGCTCGGCCAGGCGCATGCCACTCCCACCTTTATCTCACTAGTGCCTTCCACAATAAAGCAGTTTCTTCCCCTGCCCTTCCTGGGCCCCTGCCTTGCATTATCCCTTTGCTAAACTTATACACAGAGCCCAACAGAGGATCAGAGCATCAGCAGAAACACAGATGGAGCAGCTCCCAGGTGTCCCTTGGCCTCAGTTTCTACACCTGTGGACCCGTAGTAACCCTGTCCTCCAGTGAGCACTCCCTGACCAAGCACTTCGGTGTCCAACACAGGAAGTTTCTGCCCTGTTACTGTGTAGGGATGGAACATCTCTTCCCCCTGGGACTGAGGGGAAGGGGTGGAGGAAAAGAAATACAAGCTCAAACCCATCCAATCTGGCCCAGGGCCCTCCCTTTCCCCAGATACCCACACAAGGGGGTGGACTCCTGTCCACGGACAACAGCTCAGACCGTCATGCACATTCCAGGACTCACTTTGTAAACACTCATACCGAGGTGCTGCCCGCCCCAGCCCCTCCTACCTACAAATAGAGCAGCTGTTGCTGAGGGCACGGGGTCTCCCCAGCTGTCTGCTGTCGTCAGCTGCAGCCCCCCAGGCGACAGTGCTCAGTAAGCCCTCATCATCTCCAAGAATAAACTCTGAAGCCAGTGACTGTTGTGGCCCTGAATCATAAGGAACACAGCAACAGAAGCCTGGCAGAAAAGGGGGAGTGACTTCTTGGGACAGGCGAGCTGACTATATAAGCCCGGAAGGCTGGGCTCTGTGTAGATTGCTCCCACCAGCTGCCACCTGCCAGAGAGGTGCCTTTGGAGACCCGGCTCTTGCACAGTACCCACCATGTCCCAGGTAAGAGAGTCTAACACAGGCTGTGTCAGGGCCAAGGTGGGTGAGGGTGGAGAGCTGGCCACTGTCATCTCTGGCAGCTGTGTCTTGAGCGGAGCTCCAGGCATAAACAGGAGCCTCTCCAGGCTTACTCTGATGAATTCTTGTTGTGTTTGGTGGTGTCCCATGGTTTGCCAGGAGGGTGGGGGAAAATGTGTCTAGCCCCTACACATCTCTATGTGCATGTCTCTGTATGTGTGAGGGCATCGCTTGTATGTCGGTGTACAGCATTATATACATTTGTAGCTATGCACTGTGCATATGTGTGTGTGTGTGTGTGTGTGTGTGCGGGTACATCTGGGTCTCTATTTGTAAATGTGTACACTGTGCCTGGGTCTCTCCCCAGAAGGGTGGGTCTCTGCTGAGGTATCCTTTGTTGCTCAGGCTGAGAGACTAGGGAATCCTGCACCTGCCCCAGGGCTTAGGAAGGAATAAGGCCTCAGGCTGGTGGGCACCTGAGGTCAGGGCATGGGGGAGCCACTGAGTCAGGATTCCCCAGCACTAGATGGACAGATGGACCAACCTGCAAGGGGATTGTTGTCCTTTGCTGCCTGTTCCACGGATGGGTGCTGGCTTTGGACTGTAACTTCATAGGCATCTGGTTCCCCTTCCTCATTCCCCTCCAAGAACACAGGATAAATGCTGGTGCCTTTTTTGGTGGGCGGCAAAGGACACAGATTCCTAAGGGACTTCTTGCCACCCTGTCAGCAGTTCGTAGAACACACCAAATTCCTGGCACCAGAAAGTCAATCCTTCCCTTTTCCTTGTGCTCAGCCCTGAGCTTGGCCAGGTAGACAGACCAGTATGAGGGCAGCAGCCACTCACTGCCCATAGGCGCGAGAGCAGGTGTACAAGTCAAGACGAGGACAGGGAGACTTGACGAGAGGGAGAGGGCTTATAGTCAGAGAAGGTTTCCCAGAAAAGGAATGGAGCATTGAGCTGCCTCATGTTCAGTGACCAGGGAAGAGGTGTCCCAAGACTAAGGCCCTAAGACGGGAAAGAGGTCTCAGCCTGGAGGCCTCAGTTGTAAGTTGAGGTCCGGGCTCTCTAAGGCTGGTACTCCGGGAGCACCTATCAAGAAGAAGCGCCCCCCAGTGAAGGAGGAGGACCTGAAGGGGGCCCGAGGGAACCTGACCAAGAACCAGGAGATCAAGTCCAAGACCTACCAGGTCATGCGGGAATGTGGTGAGTGTCTTCCACGTGGGGGCAGGAGGCATGGGTGTGTGTCGATGGTGGGGCCAGGGGTCCTGTCGGGAGTCCAGAGCTCCTGGGCTCAGGAAGGGGGCCTCCCACAAAAGGCCCCTTCTCTCCTGGGAAGTCAGGCCAGAAAGGCCCTAACTCTCTCTCCTCCCATAGAGCAAGCTGGCTGCACTGCTCCATCGGTGTTCAGCGGTGCCCGGACAGGCACTGAGACTGTCTTTGAGAAGCCCAAAGCTGGACCCGCCAAGAGCGTCTTTGGCTGAGAAGTACACACCATTCCCCATGCCATCCTGAACACTTAGACACGGAAGCCTGGTCCAAGAACTTTTTTTATGCCAGAACACACCCTCCTTGCCTGCTATCTCTGGAACTACCACCCGCTTCTACCACCCAACCCTTCAACTGTGTGCACAGCATGGTGGAAACACTAGCAAAGAGGATACCTTAATCTATGTGGAATCAAACTGACAGCAGCACCTCAAAGGACAGATAGGAAGCTTAGGGATGGTGATTTTTATGTTAATGGGGGAGGAACAATTCAAAAAAGGTGAGAATGGTCACACAATTCAAAGAATGTAATCAGTGTCACTGAATTGTACATGTGGAAACCGTTGAGTTGGGGTACATTTTGCTGTGTATATTCTCAACAACCACAAAATAAAATAAAAAGGATGTCCAAGTGGAGGGTGTTGGTGGATCAGCTGTTGCCGTTTTGGTGGGCAAGGCAGGGGGAGGGCAGGGCAGGGTGGGTGTGTGGGAGTACATCTCTACCCTTCCCAGGCTTTGGGGATTCAGAGGATAAGTGCTGCTTTGGCCACTGCCATAGGATAAAGAGCCCTGGACGTGAGACCTGGCACTGACCCATGTAACTTCGGACCAGTCTCTTTTCTGAGGCCCTTCCCTTCTTTTTAACAGAGGAGTTGAGCTGGAGCCTATTGCATAAAGGAGACACAGTAACACTACTCAGAGTGAAGCTGGTGGGGTCTGGGTCTCATCCTGCCCCCTGCCATCTTCAGAAGCCATGGATACGCTTCCAGGTACCTCAGGGGTGTGTGAGAGATCCCCTTGCCCCCCAGCCCTTGTTCACTCTTGTGACCTAGAAGACAATGCAAGTCAAGTCCCCTCTCTGGCCAGTAGCAGTCAGTTCCTTGAGCTACTCTCTCCTCTCCCCAAAGTCTTGCCCTTTGTACTCCCCACAAGCTGCCTGAGGCATGAAAACACCAGATTCTTACCTCTTGTGTGACTTCCCGCTCCTTTGGGCCTCAGTGTCCCCCTTTGTGCGCAGATTCACAGAGCAACAAGGGATATGACAGCAAGACCATGAGCAGGTTGACAAGCTCCTTTCAGCCCTGGGCTTGCTGGACCTGAATCAGGGCTGATCCTGCAGGGATGACCTTGCTGATTCTTGGGAGACAGGGTTAGGGTGCGGAGGCTGACTGCTCAGAGCCTTTCCCACAGTTCCCTGCCAGCCTGGCCTCCTTATATAGCATTGGTTTCAGGCTGTGCCTGTGTTCCATGCCCCAGAGGAGCAGACCTCCTGCAGGGGCAGGGCCTGAGCCTGCTCACTGGGCCCCTTGGGGAGACCTTTCGCTCTGCTGAAGGGGGAGGGTGTCTCCTCCCCCCATCCCATGTACCCCCAGTCATGTCCAGAGCCAAAAGGATGAACACTTCCAGATTTGCACAGAAATGAGGCTTTTGCCTATACTCATGCTAAGAAAGGGAGCTCTGGTGGTATAGTGCCTAAGGCATTTGACTGCTAACCAGAAGGCTGACGGTTCAAACCCACCAGCCACTCCTTGGAAGGAAGGTTGGGCATCTACTTCTGTAGTGATACCGCCTCGGAAACCCAAGGAGGGGTTGTTACGAATTGGATCTGACTCGCAGTGCATTGCATTTTTGCATTGCATGCTAAGAGAGGGGAACATTTTACTTCAGCCATAGAAATTGCCTGAGGTCCCTAATGCCCTTCCCCAGGGCTAGATGCAACTTGCTGAGAGGAAAGCGAAGCTGATGGAGAAGACATTTTCACTGCCCCGTGGCCCTGCTTAAACCCCTAGGATGGCTGGCCCCCAGCCAGGACTGGGCACTTAGCCACACCTTTGTGAAGCATCTTTGCCCCATCTGTAGCCACAGACACAGGGTTTCCCAGAGCCACCAGGGAATACGAGCACCAGTTGCATCCAGACCTCCTAATATTTACTCATTTTATTGCTATTTGTTATAAACGCAGCATTTCCACTTTATTAAAGGAAAATTGAAAAAGTAATCTGTAATCTTATGTGGCCCCTGGGCAGTGCTACCTTTGGTCTGGCTGTGGCACTCTCACACCTGCTCAAGACAACAGCCTTGTCCAACCCAGAGCTATGGTCCCGGATTCCCTTGACACTACTGGCCTCCACATGTACACACTGCCACCCTAATTCACCTACAGAAGCTCAATTTGTTCAGTTTCCTTGTTGGTTGCATGCCTGTCAAGGAATCCCCAGAAGCAAGACCCTGGCTGTAAGCTGTGAACAATTTTTTTTTGTTGTTATTTTTTTTATTATTTTATTGTGATTTCGGTGAAAGTCTACAGAGCAAATTCATCTTCCATACAGCACTTCATATACACTTTGTCTCATGACATTGACTGTAATCTCCCACAATGCAACAATTCTCCTCCCACTTCCTCCCCATAGTTACCTCTTTCCTGTGTCCTTTCCTCACGTGTACTACTGCCCCCTGAGCTGTCTCCTGTTGAGTACACAGCCCTTCTATTCTCCCATGATTGATCTCTCGAAGGATTATATCTCTTGCAAATGTTCAGCTCATATGCCTGTCTTTTGTTTGGCTGGAAGCCACAGGAGTGGGTTCAATTCCAGACCTGAAGGGCAGCTAGGGGCCATAGTCTCAGGGGTTTCATGAGCCTCTGTCAGACCAGCAAACCTGGTCCCTTTTATTTTATTTTATTTTATTTTATTTTATTTTAAATGATTTTGACTTTTGTTCCACATTATTCTCCCACTCTGTCCAGGATCTCCTATATAGATCCCCCTCTGAGTGACTGACAGTGGTACTCAGGCCCCATCTAGTTTTTCTGGTCTCATGGTTATATAGACAGGATCTCATGGTGTACCACTTCCTTGGACTAATTGTTTCCCTGCCTCTTTGGTTTTCTTCGTTCTTTTTTGCTCTGAATGAGGAGAGACCCATTGTTGCACCTAGATGGCTGCTTGCAAGCTTTTAAGATCCTAGTCACTACTTGCCAAAGTAGGATGTGGAACAATGTTTCTGTGTAGTATGTTATGCCAATTGACCTTGATGTCCCCTGCAACCTTGGTCCTGAGCCCACAGGTCCGGCTATTCGCTCCCTCTGGGTAGCTGGCCAAGAAGTGACTACAACCTTGCCTCTTGTCAGCTCTACTACACACCTGGAAATTCTTATAGAACATACAAATACACTTGTAGAAACATTGTCTGCCAAGCCTCTACCTGGTCTTGGGCACACTCCCCCATGCATAGACATACCTAATCGTTCAGCTTGTCCACCCATCTATCCACTCATAGATCAATGTTTGCCATCACTGACAGCACGGTACTGTATGTGCAAAAGGGTTCATCTTTGTTGTCTGTACCTCCCATGCACCTCTCTATGTCTTTCTCTTCCTCAGTGCCACCATGTCGATCACTCACATTTGGTACATTACCCTTCCCTTCACACAAATCAATACTTGTCTCTACCTATCTAGCAGTGTTCCCTTCCCTCCCATCCTATCCCTGGTAACCAACAAAGAAAATTATCTTTCATATATAAACCATTCCTTGACTTTTACAATAACGAACTAATGCACTATCTGTCCTTCTGTGATTGACTTACTTCACTCAGCATAATGTCCTCCAAGTTCATCCACGTTATGCAGTGTTTTGCAGATTCTAGGTTATTCTTTAGGGTTTCACAGTATTCCCTTGTGTGTATGTACCGTAGTTTGGTTATCCATTCTTCTGTTGATAGACACCTAAGTTGTTTCCATCTTTTTGCTGTTGTAAATAGTGCTGTGATGAACATGGGTGTGCATATATCTGTTTTTGTCCTGGATATATCCTGTTCTTTAGGATATATACCTAGTAATGGAATTGCTGGGTCAAATGGTATTTCTAAATACAGCTTTATAAGGAATTGCCATACTGCTTTCCACAGTGTATCATTTTACAGTCCCACCAGCAGTGTATGAGAGTCCCTATCTCTCTGCATCCTCACCAGCATTGATTATTTTCTGTCTTGTTGAACTTTGCTACTAGTGCTGGGGCAAGGTGCTATCTCATTGTTGTTTTATTTTGTGTCTCTCTAATGGCTAATGATTGTGAATATTTATTAATGTGTTTGTGGGTCACCTTACTCTCTTCTTTGGTGGTGTCTATTCATGTCTTCTGCCCATTTTAAAATTGGATTGTCTTTTTGTTGTTGAGTTGTTGGAGTTTTTGATAAATTTTAGAGATAAATCCCTTGTCAGATATGTCATTGCTAAATACTTTCTCCCAATCTGTAGGTTCTCTTTTGACTCTTTCGGAGAAGTCTTTCGAAACACATAAAAATTTAGTTTTTAGAAGGTCCCATTCATCTAGTTTATCTTCTGCTGTTAGTGCGTTTTGGGTTCTGCTTGATAGTCTATTTATGGTATATATTAAACCAACCAAAAAAAACCCAAACTCACTGCCGTCAAGTCGGATCCAACACATAATGACCCCTCCTTGGGTTTCTGAGGTGTTATCACTACAGAAGTAGATTGCCCAATCTTTACAAAGAGTTCCTGGTGGGTTTTGAACCACCAGCCTTCTGGTTATCAGTCAAATGCCTTAGGCACTATGCCACCAGAGCACCTTATGCCATATATATATATGTGTGTGTGTATGTGTGTGTGTGTGTGTGTGTGTATGTGTATGTATGTATTAGGGCCCCTAAATTTGCCTATTTTTTTTCTTGAGGAACTTCATAGTTTTAGGCTTCACATTTAAGTCTTTGATCCTTCTGGAGTTAGTTTTTTGTGTGGCGTGAGGTACACATCTTGTTTCATTTTTCTGCAAATGGATATCCAGTTTTCCCAGCACCATTTGTTAAACAGATAGTCTCTACCCCATTTAATGGATTTCAGCCCTTTGTCAAAGATCAGCTGACCATAGGTTGATGCATCTATTTCTAGGGGCTGTGAACATTTTTATAACTCTTAGTTTGGCCTACCAAATTATAGGTCTTTGTTTTGGGGGTCTTTCTGGAGCTGAACCCAGAGCCCTGGCTAGCCTAATGGGGCCAAACAGCAGCCTGGGACCCCAGGAAAGAGCGAGGGGGTTCTTAGGCCCAGCATCTCTGGCCCCAGAAATAAGGTAGATCCGTCCTGCCTTGACACCAGCAGATCTTCCTCCGTTCAGACAACTCCAAGGGCTTCTCAGTACCTTCAGGGCCCTCCACTGCCCAGCCACACTGGCCTGGCTTCTAAGGCCCCTTCCTCCAGGAAGCCCACCCTCTAGCCTGAGTCATTTCTGCCACCTCTTCTGTCTTGCCCCAGGCTGGACTCGTAGAGAGCAGATTGGGGCTTGTTCACTGGTGTGAGGGGTAGTGGTGGCATAGGATGGTTCTGGCCCTCTCAGAATGGTGCCAATACTCAACTCCCAACTTGAGCCTGACTTTCCTCAGGACATGTCTCTGTCCCCAGCCAAGGTACATGGAGTATTCCCAGTTTGCCTGCTTATCTGTGGCCACTGCATTTTTTGGCTTGTGGATCCCAATTTCCCAGAACCTGCCCCCGCAGGGGCGGGGCAGCAAGCAAGTTACTAATTCATTCCTCACGTCCTCTTAAGCTCAGAAACAGCCTGGCAGGCACTGTGGCCAAAATGAAGACCCTCACCTCAGCCCACAGCTCCAGCACCCTTGTCCTGCTCATGCTGCTGATAGCCCTCCAGGCCACCACTGCCCTAAAGGTAGCAGGCGTCACAGGAGAGACGCATCTATGTGTGCATGAGTGTGAATGGTGTGAGCTGATGAGCAAGCAAAAGCGTCTGAGAAGTTGGGGAGAGCCTCTGTGTGTGCAAGTGTGTGACTACACATGGGTATGGATCTGTGTGTATACAAAGCAATGCTGCTGACCACACATCAAACTTACAGGTATTCTCCTATTTTGTAAAGGGGGTGATCCTGTGATTTCTGTTTTACAGACAAGGAACTGTGGCTTAACAAGTTGGCCCTGGAGGCTGGCAGTGAGGTGGGTGGTAAGCCCACTGCCCGGGCCCCTCTCTCAACCCTGCCTTCCCACGGCTGACACTTTTATGTCCCAGTTTTCTCATCTGTCAAACAGGACAAGAATAGAACCTATTCAGAGGGATGTGATGATCACACCTATAATACCTATAAAATGTGGAACAGTGCCTGGCACACTGAGATGTTGACACATACAAGAACAAGTCACATGGCTAGTCCTGCACCCATGTGTGCGAGCAGCCCTGTGTCTAAACTGAGTGGTATGCACACATGGTGAGGCATATGTATGGAAGTGTCTGCGTGCATGTGTGTGTGTGTGTGTGTGTATCCAGGCCTGGGGATCCAGGCCTTAGGGAAGGTGTGTACCTGAGGTCAGAAACTACATGCCTAGGGGAGCACCCTGCAGACCGGAGGACGGGGGTCTGGGAAGGGCCCACAGGGTTCCAAGTCCCTGTACCCTTGGCTGCAGGGAAGAAAGGAGCAAAGAGAAAGAGCCCTGTTGTCATCGTAGGGACTGGACCTTCCTTTACCCTAAAATTCTCCCACCTCCTGTGGCTCCCTGGTAGGAGACTGACTGGACCTGTCTGCACAAGTCTCTACAGGCCAAGGTCCCCAGAGATCAAATGACTCGTTCACTGGGCAGAGCTAAGACTATGTAGGAGGCTTCCTGACCACGCTGAGGCCCTCTGGGGCTCACCTCTGTCCAAACGATGGGTGACCTCCCAGACACCCGAGCCCCAAGCTCCACCATATGCCGTGTGCTTATTGTTCTCCAGGGCACCGTGGCACCCACAGAACAAGACAGATATGGTCTCTCCCCATAGTGTAGGGGATGAAGGATAGAGCTACTGCCTATGTGAGATAAATGGTCACTTAGGAAGTGTCTTACAGGGTTTATCCTGAAGCCTGGTCAGAGGCTTAGTTGGGATTGGGGGCCAGGGCTTGGTCTGGGATCAGGGTCAGGGCCCACTTGTTACCCCAAGGTGAGTGGTGTTGAAACAACTTGACACCCCTTCATTTGCTGGTCCAGAATGACATCGACATCTACAGCCTCACTGTGGAGTCCAAGATCTCATCCAGATTTGCCCACACAGTTGTCACCAGTCGGGTGGTCAACAGGGCCGACACTGTGAAGGAGGCTGCTTTCCAGATGGAGCTTCCGAAGAAAGCCTTCATCACCAACTTCTCCATGTAGGTGCCTTCCTGCCCTCTTCCTCGCTCCCCACCAGCCAAGCTCCATGGCACCACCTCCCATCTAGACCCCACCAGACCCTCTTCTTCAAGATGTCTGCCTTTGGGAGTCTCTTCTCCGCCTGTGGATCACAGGACTAGAGGCTCTACCAAGGGAGTTAGTACAGTCCCAAGGTGTTTCCATCCCTCCTTTCCCCCTTCCCTCCCTCCTTCCCTTTATCCATCATCCCTGAGTGCTGCATGAGGACCTCAGTATCTTTGTGCCCTTGTCTTTGAGGAGCAAAACTTGGGGCACCCTGAGGCCAGGCCCAGACAGCAGGAAGTTACTGAAAGGCAGATTCCAGCTCAAAAGTACAAAAATCTTGCCTTGAGGTGGGGGACCTCCTTGTTCCTGGAAGTTGTAAGCCAGACTAGTCCCTGCTCCCAACCGAGATACCTTAGAGGACATTTCTGCTCTAGGTCACAGGCCACATGGAGAGGCCCCTGGAGACTCTGAGTTGCTGCTAATCCTCACCTTCTCCTGTGCCTCCCTGCTCCCTCCACTTCCTGACTCAGTTTTGCAATGTTTGCTAAACAAGAGAGCTCCCTGCATGTCCCTGGCCCCATGGAGAGGTAGTGATTAAGGACAGGTCAGAGACAGACTGATGCCAGGAACTCAGGGAGGGTGGTGGGTGGTGCAGAGAGTGAGCAGCTCTCGAGAGAGGTCCCCAGATGAACCCTGGCATCTCTGCAGTGAGGGCAAGGGTCTTTGTAGTTTGCGTCCCTTCTTTCTGGATTATCCCTTCAACACACGCATACTCAGCAGCAGACCTTGACTAACCCTGAATCCTGCATGAGCCTCCCAGGCTGCAGGGATGCCAAGGCCCCCATGTTCCCCAGTTCTGGGCCCATCACTTCTGGCCCAAGATCTCTGGACCCAGATTATGTTGCTGTATGAAATGGGGAAGTAGGGGGTAGGATGCCCAGCTTCCTGATTGGGCAAGAAGCCCCACCTCAGCATCTGGGGAGACAGCACTGTCCAGGGAGGAGGAGGAGTCCTTTGGCCCATGAAGCAGCCCTATCTCTCGTCCAGAGTTAAATTATAACCGGGAAGGTCAGTGAGGTGGGAGGAGGAAGCTTGGTCCTGACTCCCTGATCTGCTCCACCCTCCCTGTCCCACTCTTACACACTCCCACCCTTTCACACCACCCTCAGGTAGATCAAGTGTCTGCTTACCTTACAACATCCATTCTCACCCCACAAAGGGGTTCTGGAAAACAGTCACTTTTCTTCCTGGAAACTAGCTCAGTCGATTCTGTTTCTCAGCTTTTAAGAATGGCAGCCAGGAGCATGTCCACAGCTCTGGGAGTCCCATCAATCAGTTGCCCAAAACCTATTTCATGAGTTGCCAACCACCCTGCAGAGTGCCTGCCATGTGTGTGTGTGTGTTTGGGGTGGGGGTGGGGGATCACAGCCTTCTTTTCCTCAGAGTCTGCCCTGTACAGCTGGACATAGGGCTGGGCACACATGGGGCTCAGAAAGCTCTTGCTGAGGTTTAACCAGTTCCTTTGGGAATAGTTTGTGAAGTGGAAGGGGGCAAGCCGGCATGTGTATGGGCAGAGAGAGGCCAAGATTCATCTAACCCTGCCACCTCTGCATGGTTCCTTCCTGTACGCGGTCTTCCGGCTGCTGTGCACAGCCTTGATTCATGGAGATCCACTGTGCTTTGCTTTGCAGAGCCTTGCCACCCTGCACAGCGCCTGCACAGGGTCTTGTACTCAGTAGATGCGTAATAAATGGGGTGGGCTCAGGTAAAGATGAAGAGGCTCTTGCGGGAGGTGGAATTAGGGTGGATCCCTCCCACCAGGTTCTCAACCACTCCTACCCCACCCCCACCCTAGGATCATCGATGGTGTGACCTACCCGGGGACTATCAAGGAGAAGGCTGCAGCCCAGGAGCAGTACAGCACAGCTATGGCCAGGGGCGAGAGCGCTGGCCTGGTCAAGTGAGCCCAAGGGGGCAGTGGTGGGAACCCTGGTGGGGGATGGCCAGGGGGAGGGCAGAAGCTGCCCCTGCCTTCCTGCTCTTCAGCCCCACCGCCACCTGGCTTTACCCCAAGTGGCCTGGAGGAGCAGCCCGATGCCTTCCTCCCCCAGGGCCACTGGGAGAAAGACGGAGCAGTTCCAAGTGTCAGTCAGCGTGGCTCCTGCTGCCAAGATCACGTTCGAGCTGGTATATGAGGAGCTGCTCAAGCGGCAACTGGGCACATATGAGCTGCTGCTGAAAATCCAACCCCAGCAGCTGGTCAAGCACCTGCAGGTACCTGGCACTGCCTCTTCCCAGAAGCACACCTTGGTGGCCTCCCGCCCTGCCCTTCCTTTCCACTCTGCCTCCCATGAAGCCCCACCCAGGCTGCCGACTGATCCAGTGGCCACACCTTCCTCTAGATGGACATTCACATCTTCGAGCCTCAGGGCATCAGGTTCCTGGAGACAGAGAGCACCTTCATGACCAATGAGCTGGCAGAAGCCCTTACTACCTCACAGAACAAAACCAAGGTGTGCTTGCCATGGTCAGTGGGATGGGGCTCCCAGGGGCCTGTCTTCAGTCCAAAGAGCCTGGATTCCAGGGAGCAGGACAGTTATTTGAGCTGAAGGAACTTCTGAAGTCTCTGACCATGCTGTCATTTGGCAGATGGTCAGGGCAAGGCCTAGAGGAGGATGGTGGGCACTGGTATGAACCCCAAACCCAAAGTCTGTGGGGGAAGAACTTGGAGAGTAGAGTGGTGAGAGGGTCCTGGGCCAGGTGGAGAGGAAAGGATGGCTGGATCATACACCTCCTGAGTCTAGCTTTGCTTGCATTACCTCAGCAACAGGGGCTCACTCTCACACCCCTTCCCCCACACGGAGGCCAGCCGTCTGACATCAGCCTGAGTGAAAGTTCCCTGGAATATTGACCAAAGGCTGCATCCTGGAAATCTCACTTCCCAATAGGGCAGGTATAGTGCTGGCATGGCCTCAGTGCCCCTCCTAACCACAGCCCTGGTGTTCCTCCAGGCTCACATCCGGTTCAAGCCATCGCTTTCCCAGCAGCAAAAGTCTCCAGAGCAGCAGGACACAGTCCTGAATGGCAACTTCATCATCCGCTATGATGTGAACCGGACGCTCTCAGGAGGCTCCATTCAGGTGAGTGGGCTCCAGGTGAGAGTGGGCCAACCTGCAAACCCATCCACCCTCCAGAGCCTGAACTTGAGTGTTACAGAAGAGACAAACTAACCGTCCCTGCATGGCACTGTGCACAAGGGGGTAGCACAGACAGAAAACAAGCTGCTTTGCTGAGTTGTCCATAAAAGGTTTGTCTGTATTAGAGGGCTGCTCTGCAGAGTTTCCTTCTTTGCCTTTACTGCCAGGAGGATCACAGCAAAGTTTTATGTTCAGCCTCAGAAGCTTCTCTTACTCAAGTTTCTAGCATCATTATGTCTGTCTCCCTTTTATCCCTTGCTTATGGAGTCTTTCTTCCTTTTTGGTAGATTCCAGTTTTATTATATCTGAGCCTTTTAGTATGTTGTTGTTGTTGTTGTTATGTGCCGTCAAGTCGGCCCCGACTCATAGCGACCCCTCCTTGGGTTTCCGAGGCAGTATCACTACGGAAGTAGGATTGCCCAGCCTTCCTTCCGAGGAGTGGCTGGTGGGTTTGAACCGCCAGCCTTCTGGTTAGCAGTCAAGTGCTTTAGCCACTATGCTACCAGAGCTTTTTAGTATAGGCCCCCTCAAATGCAAATAGGAAATAAAATGGAGGAGAATTCCAGTGGGCCATGCATGACCGGAGAAGGCTTCTTACAAGAGGAGCTGGGCTGAGCCTGGAAAGAGGAGTTAACGGGGCTAGGGGGCTGGAGCGGGCTGGAAGGAGAGCACAAAGGGAGCCTAAGGACTTGGTGCCCCCAAATGGAGGAAGATGAAGAGACTAGAAGTGCGGGGAAGATAGGGCTGTGGCTCTGACCGCCTGTGAGCCTCCTCAATCTGTCTGCAGATCGAGAATGGCTACTTTGTGCACTACTTTGCCCCTGAGGGCCTGCCCACCATGCCCAAGAATGTGGTCTTCGTCATTGACAAGAGTGGTTCCATGAGTGGCAGGAAAATCCAGCAGGTGGGTCCCAGGGGCCAAGCCAAGGCCCTGAAAGCTCCTAGGCCCCTCATACCATGAGCTCTAGTGCAGCAGGCAGACCCTCCCTCCTCCATCTCCTTGGGTAGGAGCTTCAGGGGCCAAGGAAGGCCAGAATACGGGGCATCCCTATCTCAGGGCATATACCTCTTGTCCCCACCTCAGACGGGAACCCAGGGATGCCAGCCCAAAGGCACATGAGCCCTCAGGGAGGCCCCACTGAGCCATTCACCCCAGCCCATCTCCCCTCCTGCTGACCAGACACGGGAAGCACTAATCAAGATCCTGGGTGACCTCCGCCCCAACGACCAGTTCAACCTCGTCATCTTCAGCTCAGAGATAGCCCAGTGGAAGCCATCGATGGTGCAGGCCTCAGCGAATAACGTGAATGAGGCCAAGAGCTATGCTGCCACCATCAAGGCCCAGGGAGGTAAGTGCCTCTGCAGCCCTGTGGGTGGGAGCTTTCAGGGCTGGAGGCCACCTCGAAAGTGTGTGCTTCTCAGGAACCAACATCAACGATGCGATGATGACGGCTGTGAAGCTGCTGGACAAGAGCAACCGGCAGGAGCTGTTGCCCTCAGGGAGTGTCTCTCTCATCATCCTGCTCACTGATGGTGACCCCACTGAGGGTGAGCATCCTACAGGGGCAGCCATCAGGGGCCCATCCTGGCATGTTGGGGGACCTAGGGTGGGGGTGGCCCTCTGAGGCTCCATGGAGCGAATCACTCTTTTCTTATCCCCTTTCCAAACCCATGGGTCCAGGGGAGACCAACCCTGTGAAGATCCAGAAGAATGTGAGAGAGGCCATAAATGGCCAGTACAGCCTCTTCTGCCTGGGCTTTGGCTTAGACGTCAGCTATGTCTTCCTGGAAAAGCTGGCGCTGGATAACGGTGGCCTGGCTCGGCGCATCTATGAGGACTCAGACTCCGCCTTGCAGCTCCAGGTGCTGGCATGTCCTGAGTGGGGAAGGGCACAGAGAGGCTGGGCAGACCCCAGCCCAGCCTTTGTGACACTCCCCACCCTGCAGGACTTCTATCAGGAGGTGGCCAACCCACTGCTGTCTGCAGTGACCTTCGAGTACCCAAGCAACACTGTGGAGAAGGTCACTCAGGAAAACTTAGGGCTCCTCTTCAAGGGCTCAGAGATGGTGGTGGCCGGGAAGCTGCGGGACCAGAGCCCTGATGTACTCTCTGCCAAAGTCAGCGGGCAGGTGGTGAGTGCAACCAACTTGTCTCAAGCAGAATGGCAGCTGGGACCAAGGGCAGGTTCCACCTTTGTAGCCAGAGGACTGGGTTCAGGTCCCGGCCCCACTGAGCTCCAGCAGACTGGCCTTGGGCAAGTTGCAGAATGATCTGAGCCTTGGGTTTCCCCTCTGCCACTTGTGGATGACAGCTGTCCCCACTTTGTGGGTTCGTGGTAGAGGCTCAGTGAGATAATAGAGTGAAGCTCATGAAAATGCGTGTGCTGTGCCCACACGAGGTAGGGACTCAGCAGTTGATATGTGATGTGGCTGCAGTGGTTAGTGTGAGCACCTGGCGACAGCAGGGGTTCCCTGCTATCACTTGTCCCTCCCGTCTTCACACCAGCCCTCTGAGGTTGCAGTCCGGCAGGACAGTTGCTTCTGTTTCACAGATAAGCAGACTGAGCTCCAGACAAGGCAGGCGACTGGCCCTGGGCCCACTGTAGTTGGGTTGAGAGCCCAGCTCCCCAGCACGCTGCCTTCTCCTTACCCACCCTGCCCTGCCTCTGTGCCACAGGTGCTCTGTCTCTGTGACCTCCTTCCAGAGAGTACCTCTCATTCCACAAAGAGAAACTGAGCACCTAATATGCGCAGGTCCTTTTCTAGTCTCTGGGGATACAGCAGCGAATGAGGCAGACCCTGCCCGTGTAGACAGATCATCATACATATGAGGAGCTTGCAGGTCCAGATGCACCTGACAGAAGATTAACCCAGGGACTCAGGAGAACAGCTCCAGGGGCCTCAGCCTGGTCTTTGGGTCAGGAATGGCTTCCTGGAGGAGGCCTAGCTGGGGCAGAGGGGTAAGTAGAAGGTGGACAGAGCCAGTGATGGAGTGAAGTAGGAATGTTCTGGGCCATGATGGCAGGAGGGCTGCATGTGCAGGGAGAATGAATGGCAAGTGAGTATGGGGTGCCCAGGGCCTCATCCTAGGAGAGGTGACCAAACATCACAAATGTCAGGGCCCTGTGACCAGCCCACCTGCTTCAGACCCAGCTCTGCCACTTCCCAAAGGTGAGACCACGGGCCAGTCACTTAACCTCCTCACGCCTGAATTTCTTCCTTTGTAAAAATGGGACTGTCACCGTATTCACCTCGTAAGGCTGCAGTGGGGACTACTGTGAGCTCAGTGTAAGTACTTCATAAATGTCAGCTGTCTATACTGTCCTAGAGGCCAGGCGTCCCCCAAATTGTGGAACCCAAGATAGTTCAGGGTAGTTCACAAACAAACACATACCTTTATTTTGGTGATCATGAATTCATTTTGCTATGCCTTCTGAAAACTCTTACTTGAACCTTAGATTTCACAGGTATTATTGCTTGGGACAAGGTCAAATAAGACATGGTAGTCTCTTTAAAGTTCATTTAAGAAACAAAGATCAAATCCATAGCTGTGGGGGGTGAGGGGTAGGACAAAATTCATGTGGGCTGCCTGAATGTGAGAAAGCTTGGAAAAGCCGAGCTCTAGGTGAGTCAGAGTAGGGCCATTCAAGCAGGGGGTCTAGTCCACATTATAAAAGGTCTCCTGGCTGCTGTGGCGAGCTCTGGTGGGAAAGGGTGGGTTCCTCTGCCCATGGCTGGACCACATTTCCCAGGCTGTGAGCTGCGTCAGCCTAAGACCATAGCCCCTCCCCGGGGAAGGCAGCCATCAATTCACACAGAGCTTAGGGGCCTTCTTTACTCTCATCATCCACAGGGCACAGCTACAGCTCAGGAGCTGGCTTGTTGGGATGGATGAGGCCCTAACCCTGGAGCCAAGATGCCTGAGTTCTATTCTCAGCTCTGCCACTGACCCCTTTTTCCTCATTCCCAGGTTTCTCATGTTTGGGGTGAGGGTGGTCTCTCTGGAGACCCTTTCTGTTCCACACTGTGCTGCCAGCCCTTCCTGCTGTGTCTACACTGGCCTGAGGGTTCATATCCTATCCTTGCTTCCCTTTCTCCCTAAAGGTCTGCCTGACCTGGGCTCCTGGTTCCACACCTACTTCACTGTCCCTGAGATAATGTGCTACCTGCTATCTCCTCCTCCTTCTCATCTTTGGGGGCTCTGTGATGAGCCCCTCCAACTTCTAAACTCTCCTGATCCCACATTCTATGCAAAGGAAATGTGGTCCTTGCAGACAATGCCTAGGCCCTGCCCCAGCGCCAGCCAGTTTCTCATGGAGGTGCTCGAAAGTGCCAGGCCAGGTGCAGACAGATGCCAGGCCCTCACTGTCTGCACTGCTTGGGCCCCTTTCTCCAGCACAAGCAGAATATTACCTTCCAAACGGAGTCCAAAGTGGTTGAGCAGGAGGAAGAGTTCCGGAGCCCCAAGTACATCTTCCACAACTTCATGGAGAGACTCTGGGCATACTTGACCATCCAGCAACTGCTAAAGCAAATGTGAGTGGCCGGCACACCTGGAGGCCAACTGAGCCTTCCACACTCGACAGGCGCACTTCCCAGGCATTTTGCTGGTAGGGCGGGCACTGATTGGCGTGGGACATTCCCTAGGCATGGAGAGGAATGTCTTGGTGTCATGTCCGAGCTCCATATTCTCCCAGGGGGACCTTCTTAGAAAGGGCCAAAAGGGAGGAGGACCTATCTAGGGATGTGCTGAGCTCTGATATCCTCAACTTGCAGTGTTTCCGCATCTGACGCTGAGCGGCCAGCCCTTGAGAGCCAAGCTCTGGGCTTGTCACTCAATTATAGCTTTGTCACACCTCTCACGTCTATGGTGGTCACCAAACCCGAAGGCCTAGAACAAGTTGCTGAAAAGCCCAAGGAAGATGGTAGGTGTGGGATTGGGACCCCCAACCTCCTAGGCAGCAAAGTTCCTTCCTAACATCCTCCCAGCCATTTCCCTGCATCCTGACTGAGACCCCACCCACAAACTCCCAAAAGGTGACAGAGCCCCAGGAGACTTGTGCCATTTCATGGATGCGGAAAACGAGGCCAGGGCTTCTGGCTCCCCTCATTTATTGCACCTGTGTCATCTGGGGTGCACCTATGTCATCTGGGGTTGGGAGTTAAACATAACCATTTCAAATTGATCAAACCCACCCTAACAGTGTTTCTCTCTCTCTCCTAACAGTGTTTCTTTCTCTCTCTCTCTCTCTTTTGTTTTACCTAGCAAAGAGACAGAGTCTCCCCTTGGGATATGGTAATGGTAAGGGTCTAATAGCCTCAATGCCTGGCCTGGGTGATGATCTGCTTATACAAGAACTAGGGCACCAGCCTCATAAGGTGACTTGTGAGGACCTGGATTGACAAAGAGCCTAACTCTGGTTCTCTCTGCCAGGAGGGACATCCTCTGCCCAAGTGTGCTAATGTCTTTAATTGCCTGTTTATTCAAATTTTGGCTGGCACTCCTCTCAGGCCCTGTGTCGGGCACTGGGAACACAAGCCATGTCCAGCTGGGGGCCACATAAAAGTAGATCCAAGAAGCAAACCCAAGTCTCTTTGATTCCCAGCTCACAGAGCCTTCAGAGGTCGGCCCATAGGAAGCGGATTGTCCAGATCAATAGGTAGCTACAATGGAGAGAGTTGTGGGAGGGAAGCTTGACCCTAACCACTGGCCGGACTCTGCCCCTGGCTGTGGAGAAGGGGGAGGGAGGAGTTGCCTGACTCATCTGCTTGGTGTCAGGGCTGGGACTCATGTCCAGGTGTGTCTGATTATCAGGCAGTCTTGCAGATGCTCATCTTAATGGAAGAAGAGGACTGGAAGGACCAGGTAGGTTAGGGAGTACTGCCAAGGGGGAAGGAGCCCTGGTTGTTCAATGGTTATAGCAATCAGCTGCTAACTATGGAGGTCAGTGGTTCAAATCCCCCAGCTGCTTCTTGGGAACCCTGTGGGGCAGTTCTCCTCTGCCCTGTAGGTCACTATGAGTTGGAATCGACTTGATATAGTGGGTTTGGTTTGGTTTTGGCCAAGGAGTAGGCATGATATCCCAGGGGGGAGGAGTTCAAAAGGGGGTCCATTGTTGCAACTTTAATGTTCCCATAGTTGCTGGTGGGGAGGTCCCTCAGAGTGGCAGAGTATGAGTAGGGGAGCCATCCTTCTTCCCCTGAGGTGAGGTCCTACCGCCCTGGTTATGGGGACTTATGATATTGCCTGAGAGAAGGCTCTACTGGTGTCACCTTTTCCAAAAGCTGGACCTCCCTTCAGAGATCAGAAACCCATGATGACCAGATTACACAGTCTTGTTCCTCCTCCTGTGTTCCACCTTGATCGCCTTGAAGATCTGATCCGGACGTCATCACAACCAGGACCAGACTTACTACGTAAGCCACTTTCTGACTCCCTAGCGGTCTCAGTTTCCTCATGATTGTCATTGAACCTGCCCCATATAGTTGAATGAGATAAAGCATCAAGGGACTTGGCACTTGATCAAGGGCTTGACAGACCAGGGGAGCTGCTGGGGGTGGTGGTTGTGACATTAAATAATTGAGGCTTGGTTTAATACAGAATCTTCTTCTGAAGGAGGGTCAGGTGGAGAGAGGAGAGCAGGGGCAGGGCTTGGTGGGGAGAGTCGCATTTCCTGAGGGACTGTGCCCACCTTCATTGCCTTCCACCAGTCACCCCTTTGCCTTGCTCTCAGCACTTTATTTCCTTAGGTGTGAGCTCTTCCAGCTACTTCAGTTGTCCCTGGAATCCTAGGTTGTCAGACCACAAGCCCTGACAGAGTAGCCTCTCCGCCATCTCCTTGTTCAGAACTAGAGGAGACCAGCCAAGACGGTTCACCATGGAGCTCTTTGGACCATGTCACCTCCCTCCCTCCTTCCTCTCCTAAAGCACCTCTTTCCCCACCCAGATTAAGGGACAGCTGGCTTAGAGAGGTCCTGTCTTCCTCAGCCCCATCAGGCATCTGGTTCCTAAAGCAGGACTTTATGAGTCCTTTAATTTTCACTAAATTAGGGTCATTACATTCTGGGGCTTCATTCATGATGAAAGGGAAGACTTCCTCCATTTACAAGGCCAAAGCTGGTCCCTTGAGCTGTTTCTGATGCCCCAATCTGAACTCAAACACAGCTGGCAGAGCCAGCCTGTCTCCTCAGCGTTTCCCTAGTAACATGCTTTCCTTTTTGAAAATCTCTACTTACAAAGGCTCTTCTAGGTGGGGTGATGTGGGCCAGGGGCTTGGTGGATGGCAGTGATTGCTAGAAGGCATGCTGATCGCTCTGATCAGCCTTCTCTCTTTCTGTTTCTGATTGTTCCTGCACTAATGCCTGTTTTGTTGCTATTAACCTCTTCTGTTTCTGATCAACACATTTCATGATGTAGATGATCTCCCTAACCCAGACCAGAGCCTTTGGAGTAGCTTCTTGCCCTGTAACAGGAGGACTCTCGCAGGGGAGAGCCCTGGCGCTCTCTACAAACCGATTACAGAGGTTTCTCCATGTTGAAGTGGAAAGGGGGCCCTGGCCACAACCCCCCTGTTCTGTTCTTCTCCCCCATGCCCCAGGAAGGGGTCACCTCAACCTGGACTTTTTTTTCCCCCCAGAAACAAGCTCAGAATCCCCAACCTTAGGTAAGTTGCCAGCCTTCCTCAGCATCCTACTCCATCCTTGACCCCTAGCCTACTCTACCTGCCCCAGGAACCTTGCACTTGCTCTCCTAGCCCCCATCCTGGCTCCTCACGCCATCCTGTCACTGCCTGGGCAGAGCGTGGACCGGCTCTGTGTGGACATCGAGCACTCTCAGGGGCCAGTCAACCTGCTCTCAGATCCTGACCAAGGTGAGATATGCATACACAGTCGTCTCTACCAAGAGGGACATGGCCACCACTGCCACCAACTTACCCACCTGCAGAAACACACAGGTGCAGGCTCTGCCCCCCGGGCCTGCCACAGACCACAGAGTACATTCTCCCATTCACGCCCCTATGCACAAACACTTGCACTTGCTCACACCCCCACCCCCACAGACCTTTCCCTGGTGGCACATGTGCAGGTCTGTGTGGCATGGGCACTCAGGATCACTGGTCACGCAGGTATGGGCTTGCCCCAGGGCTCTCCATACTCTGTCATCACTGAATGTAAATAATCCCAGTGACACGTGGGCAGCACCCAGACAGAGCACAGAGGAGGAGGTAGGAGATGCCTGAAAGCCAGGGGAGCTGGACAAAATTACCCAGGAGTAGTTGGGCCTTGGCAGGCAAGAAGGAGTCCCCTAGGTAGAGGGAGGGTCAAGATATTACAGATGGAAGAATTAGTGCCTACAGAGGCACAGAGCCCCAAAAGATGCTAGGGGAACTGTAGAGGGTGGAAGAGGGGTATTATATTAGGAGGTAAGCCTGCTGCTAGATCTCTGGGAAGGGCCTCATTGGTCTAGCTGGGGTGGTTGGATAGTGTGTGGGAATGAGCACACACACATACCTGCAAGCCACTGAGCCATTGAACCTTACAACTCCCTCATGACTCCCAGCCTCCACATGGTCTCCCACTTAATCGTGCCAGGCCCAGAAGTCTGTTTACTCCCTGAGGGCAAGGACCACTGATTTTTCATCTTATTAATGGCTATGGCATCTAGCACAGAGCCAGGCACACGACATGGGCTTCAGGAAGGTTTATGAGAGAAGACTTCCTTCTCAGAGGTCTCGTTCTGAGGGAGAGACTCGAGTAGCTACCACAGAGGACTTGAGGGCCCTTCTAAAGCCATGTGAAACCAAGAAATGAATGAGATGATTGTGGGAACCAGACCTCTGTGTGAGGGAATGCTGAGGAGGAAGTGCTGTACCTGGTGGAGTTCTCCTCCTGAGGAGATGGACTGGTGAAGAACACTTCCTGGGGAATGACCATAATAAGGGAGGACTTCCTGTCCAGGACAGCACCCAGCCCTGGCAGGGTTACAGCTTTGCTTTTCTGCTCTTGCTCCTCTCAGGGGTTGAGGTGACTGGCCAGTTTGATACAACTCAGTTTTCGTGGATTGAGGTGACCTTCAGGAACCCCCAGCTGCAGGTCCGTGTGTCCCCTGAACATGTAGTGGTGACTCGGAACCAAAGAAGCTCGGCTTACAAGTGGAAGAAAACACTGTTCTCAGTGTTGCCTGGGTAAGCCCCAGGCTGGGGTGCTAGGCAAATGACCTCTTGGCCTACATTGGCTGACCACACTCCTGACAGGTGGCCTGGGGCCACAGACCCGGGGGTGGCATGGCTGGGCATGAGTCTTCTGCAATGGTCTGTACCACAAGATGGGTAGAAAAGCAGGTCTGGACGGTACCAAGGGAAGACCTAGCTCCCCTCACACCTAACCCAGGGCACAATCCCACGCAGGTGACAGTATGATTTGAACTAGCTTTGCTGCTAATCCTGGGTGACCCTGAGCAGACCACATAGCCTCTCTGAGCCTCTGTTTCCTCACTAAGAACTAGGGATGATCATCCAGCCCTGACTCAAGGTGGAGAATGAGCTGGGGAATGCTTCAGCCATTAGATGGCGCAGTGCCTGCTGGGCACACCACTGGGGACACTATACACAGTGATGTAATAGACACAATAATGAGAAGCTAGAAAGCACTGCTCATGGGGAAAGTTACTGTTGTTTTCCTTAGCCTGTTTTTGAAGCTTAGATGACAAGTCTATTCGGTGTCCAGTACTCAGCAGCTGGAGGGTAATAGAGGCAGATGGTGGCCTCATCTCAGTGTGGCTGCCCCACTATAGAGCCTTCCAAAGGCAGCTCTCTGCCTCTAGAAATCATAAGGGTTTCTGGGAAAGAAGCTGGACCCTCTGTGGGCAGTGGCCTTGTAGCCCCTAATCTGCACTATAGCCTATCTTTTTCTGAGTATGGAGGTCATAGTCCAGGGCTATCTCACTGAGCTCCTAGACAGGAACTCATTTCCACTTGACAAAGGCATGCCCACCTAGCAAATCCAAGGGGTCCGCTTGAAATGTTTGCCAATTTCATAAAAGATCTTCCTGAAGTCTCCAGTTATCTGAAGAATATATAAAGATCAATAGCATTTCCACATACAGAACATAAAAACTGGAAAATGTAATAAAGAATTCCTATTAATTGCATACTTTCTTGATCCGTCATGACTCACAGAAGACACAATAAAGAAAAATGGACCACATCTTTCATCTTGAATTGAGGTAATAGGACAGTGTTTGTTTAGGGCAATTCCATTTAAAATAACCTCATAGTAACAGCAGAGGATTTTATTGGACATGCTTAAAGGAGTCTAAAATTATCAGAATATGAAAAAGGCAAGAATTTCCAAGATTATTTTAAGGAGAGAATAGGATGAGGAGGGATTTGCCCTTCTAGACATTAAAGCACATTATGAAACACTAATCATCAAGAATGTGGCACCAACCATTAGAACAAAAAGGACAGAGTAGATGTATCAGAGAAGCTCCCTAAATCATGTAGCACTAATATAATATATTGCTTATAGAATATATATGATAATATATGACATTATATAATAATACAACTAAACATATATAACCACATAACAATATAATATAACCATAGGAAACTATATAGGACCTCTGGTGGCATAGTGCCTAAGGCATCTGACTGTTAACCAGAAGGCTGGCGGTTCAAACCCACCAGCCACTCCTTGGAAGGAAGGTTGGGCAGTCTACTTCCATAGAGATACCACCTCGGAAACCCAAAGAGGGGTTGCTATGAGTCAGATCTGACTCCACGGCAGTGAGTTTGGTTGCTAATTCATGAGCAACCAAATTTAAGCAAACAATAGGGATAGGAACTATTATGAATAATATGGGATAAACAGATCTCACTAAGTTAATTTTGGTCCCATTTTACCAACATGGAAACTGAAGCCTGAAGTCTTAAGGGATTTCTCATGCAAGGCCACACGGAATTCCTGAGAACTCCTAGGCTCCTGCCCACCCCAGCTGCTGAGGTTCTGGCCAGATTCCATGCAGGCCTGCCCATGCCCTACCTTCCTGCTCAGGACACTGGATTTTTTCCACAGCCTAAAGATGACCATAGACAAGAATGGTCTCCTGCTGCTCAGTGGTCCAGACAAAGTGACCATCGGCCTGTTGTTCTGGGAAGGCCCTGAGCCAGGCCTCCGGCTTCTTCTGCAGGACACTGATTGCTTCTCCAGCCACGTCAGTGGAAACCTTGGTATGCTGCCCATGGCCTGGTCTTGGGACCTCCTCAGGGACCCCTCTGCCTAGGAACAGGCAGTGCTACCTTGTCTCTGTGTGTCTCCTGGTCTCTCTTTGGTTTTCCCCCTCACTGACCCACCCTTTATATCTCAGGCCAGTTCTACCAGGACGTGCTCTGGAAGCACCCAGGAGGAAAAGACAATGAGCGAACACTGACGGTTCAGGGTAGTGACTACCTTGCCACCAGGTGAGCCAGCACAAGCCAGCCCAATGACCCCGGCCAGGGAAGGGGGCTAGGAGGACGAGAGCTGGACTTGGTGGGCCCCCACTTCCCCTGTCCTTATCCAGAAACTAGAAACAGATCAAAGGATGACACCTCCGATATGTATGTCCCAGCTCTCAGTGACCCTACAAAGGATGGTGAACTCAGACCCACAGAAACCACACCTACCTAGAGATCACTGGAGTGTGTTGGGGCAGTAGGAATACCCCTAAACTTTCAGAGTCCTGGACTCTGGTGGCCATACGCAATGAGGTCCCCCTAAGGAGTCCCCTGGGTGAGGGGGCCTCATCAGCATGCATGAAGGGAAATCTAGAGGGCCCCAGGACTTCCTATCCACCATGTCCCCATCCCCAGCTATCCCTTTCTCTTCCCACCATACCTGAGCTCTGCTGACCACCTGTCTGTCTGATTGCCTGTCTATCTATCCCAGAGAGCTCAAGCTGGATTTCCAAGAGGGGCCCCCTGGAACAGAGATTTCCTGCTGGTCTGTGACGCTATAGTTCAGAGAGGAGGAGCTGTGAGGCCCCATGCACACCCCATTCTACCCTGCTGTGTGCAGGTGGCCACCACCCTGCCACCTGGTAGGAAGGAACATAAGCATGCTGCTACAGCCACAGGGCCACCCGTGGAGCCTGGACTGCAATGGGGAGGGGGATTCCCACTCAATAAAAATAAAGATGGCATGAGCCCAGGAAGTGGAGCATCCCATAGCCTCAGAATCCTATCCTGGATATAGCTAGTGGAACCATGTGAACTTTCAATCCAATCTTTTCACTTTACAAGCAGGGAAATGATTTCGATTAAATCATTCATTTAAAATACCCTGTCAGTCCCCAGCTAGGAGCCTAGGGCTGGAGAACATTAATCTGCTTTCTGATCACTCAGTCTGTAGAAACCAATTTGACGTGCACGCAAAACACAGAGTGAACTAGGCTGACATTCTTTATAGACCAACTCCCAGACTTTCTTAACAAGCTTTTGGGCCCCTTTAAAAATAGGGTTTGCACTGTATGGTGTGATTTCGACACCTGTGCTCAGGATCAGGCCTGCCTGCCTGCCAACAAAGAAAAATTAACTGACTCCCTGCACAAGAGAGACAGAACCAAGTCCCCTCAGTCTCCAGAGGGAAGCAAAGGCCTTTCCCAGGAGCTGATGGTAGTGACCCTGGTCCACAACCTCTAAATCTTGTGCCATTGGGTCTCCTATCCATGCCCCAGGGTGAGCACTCCCCAGAGTCGACCCAATTCCTGCACAGACAAAACATACTTAAAAAAATTACTAGGAATCCACCTACTTCTGAAAACAGGACATGAGTCTATGGCTTACAAATGAAAAGCATAGAGAGGCTAAAACTGAAAACCATGAGTATGAGAATAAAGGAAAAGAGCCTACCAAGAGGACGGTTAAGTCAGACATCAGGGTGGGGGAAGCTACAGTGGTGATTGAGCACAAAGCTTCCTCTGAGCTTCCTGGCAGTCAGGACAAAGCAGAAAATGAGCACATTTGCTCACTGAGAAAACCAGATCATCCAGGAAAATAATTCTTTTCCCAGCTTTTGAGCTATGGAGGGTGTTTACTGAGTGAGTCTTCCTGGAAGGATCAGAGGACAGGCTGGTGGGAGGGATCCACACAGCAGTTTTGTCAGACACACAGAAACACTCTTCCCTGTGCTGCTGGCCTTCCATCAAGCCTGCTGGCAGGAGGGGGTCTCGGGCTGCATCATTTTATGAAGAACATTCAGAAGGGCTCAGGCTAGAGCTCTGTAAGACAAGGGAGTCGCCTAGGGGCTCTGTCGGACTCACTGTGCGGTTAGCCCTGACACACCACAAGGAGGGATAAGAGCCCATCTAAGCACACCCCTCTGGGACACGGGCTGCCTGAACTGGGCTGTGGAATTTGTGTAATGATGGAGTGGTCACAGGTGACTTTCTGGCCCAGCTGCACCTGCAAAGCAGGTGTTCTCTGTGAACCATTGAAAGGACAGCACCCGCTTCACTATTAAATTCACCAAGCACTTTCCAGCACCTACTTGGGCCAGGTCTAAACCAGGTACTGTGAGTACACTGGGTACCATGACAAGACACTGCCACCCAGAAGAGGACCAGTTGCTTCAGGAGCCCAGGGTGAGACATCTCCTCCAGTCTGGAGGATATCAGGGAAGGCTTTCTGGAAGTGGTATTGCTGAGGTTGAGGTTTTGTTTGTTTGTTTGTTTTTGTTGTTAAATAATGAACATTTTAATCCAACCAAAACCAAACCCACTGCCATTGAGTTGATTCCCAAAAGGGTCACTATGAGTCCTGGGGTTTCCAAGGCTATAATCTTTACAAACTACCACATCATTCTGTGGAACAGCTGGTGGGTTTGAACTGCCATCCTTGCCATCAGCAGCCAAGTGCTTAACCACTGCACCACCAAAGCACCTGTTGTTATGTTGTTGTTATGTGCCGTCGAGTCGGCCCCGACTCATAGCGACCCCTCCTTGGGTTTCCGAGGCAGTATCACTACGGAAGTAGGATTGCCCAACCTTCCTTCCGAGGAGTGGCTGGTGGGTTTGAACCGCCAGCCGTCTGGTTAGCAGGCAAGTGTCTTAGCCACTATGCTACCAGAACTCCTCCAAAGCACCTAGAACATTTTAATAGCAAATATTATTATTTTTGAATATTTTATTGTGTTTTAGGTGAAAGTTTACACAGCAAATTGGTTTCCCATTCAATGGTTCATACACAAATTGTTCCATAACATTGGTTGCTATCTTCATGATGTATCAGTGTTCTCCCCATTTCCACCCTGACTTTCATGAGTCTATCCAGTTTCCCTGCCCCTCCTTGTCTTCTCATCTTTGCTTTTGGGTAAATGTTATCCATTGGATCTTACATAGTTGATTTTTCTAAGAAACACCTTCCTCACAGGTATTCTTTTTTATTTTATAGGCCAGTCTGTTATCTGGCTGAAGGTGACCTCTGGGAGTGGCTTCAGTTCCACTGAGGATGAGTTTTGAGAACAAAGAGAAGTTAGTCCAATGGAAAAGGAGAGCAAGGACACCAGGCTGAGGGAACAGCAGGTGCCCAGATGTAGAGCCAGGACACAGTGCACTGAATTCAGGGAAGGTGAAGAGGTCCTGTGTGATGAGGTGGAAGGAGATGCTGGAGGGAAGGTGGGGAGGGCAAGCCAGGCCAGCACAGGCTGTGTCCACCTTTCCATGAAGCCTGGTCTCTACCCTGAAAGCCTGGGAGGCCATCAGAGCCTGTAGGTAAGGACAGGTGCAGCCAGGATGGTGTGGAATTAGAGACAGAAAGGGTCTGCTTAGTTTTGCCTGAGTGGAGGGCCTTCCCGTGTGCATGTTGGAGGGAGGAGGCAGAACTTTAGTTGGAGCTCCTCTTCCTCCTTTTCTCCGTGACCTGCCAGGCTTGGCTTCTCTCTGGAGCATGAGGGCAGAGATGAACACCCTCAGAAGGACCAGAAATTGATGACACTGCCTTTGCACAGCCTCCACTTGGCAGGCTCTTTGTCCCCATTTTGCAGATGTGAAAATTGACACTCAAGATGACTGGCTTAAAGCCATGTAGCTCCTCAGCTGACCCAGCAGCCCTGAATGGGATGGCAGGCCCACCTTTTGTGGCCCACAAACTTCCCAGGCCAGTACGGCCAGGGCTTCTACAGCGATCACCTGGGGAAGTGGGGTGATCATCAGGATGGGAGCAGAGTCTCATGCGGCCCCTGCCCTAGGGCAGTAATAGCTACCAGTTTCCCAGTAACCACCTGGGATCTCTATTGGTAATCATTTCCTCCTGGACTTCCCTCCCTGCTCCAGCAGCCTCTGCAGCCCCCAGGCCACTGTGGGCCCTGGAAAACCCTAGTTCTGGCTTCAGCAGTGGGGAGAGGCAGTAGGCCACTGGAGTGGGAGATAAAACAGCTTGATAGTGAGTTATGGTCAGACCACACCCACACTGGCATTCATGGCCCTTGCCAGTCTGATTGCAAACTGCTTCAGCCTTACTGTGTTCCCCTGCTCTGCCACCAAGCACCCACTGCTTCCTTCACCGGGCCCCCTCTGCCCAGTTTGCCCTTAGACCCTCCAGCAGAGGGGACCGCAGAGGAACTGGGACAGGAGGAGTGTGTTGGCAGAACCAACTGGAAGCAGCCTGTATGTCTGGAACCCAGAAAGTGAGGAGAGCCACCTGGTGTACGGGGCTAATGAAGCTGGAAAGACCATACGAAAGGCTTTATTTAGTCTTGGTCCCAAGAATGATGAATGGGGAGAAGGCATTTGTAGGATTTTAGGCAAGGAGCGATGATCAGTTCTGTTGGTGAAAATTTCTAAGATGCAAAGGGGGGAGAGACAGGGAGACCCAAGAAGGGGCAGTTGCAATTGTCCAGACAGGAGAGGGTTGTCCAGGCTGGAGAGCTCTCAGAACCCTGCCCCCAAGAACCTCTTTGTTGCCACCCTGGGACTCCTTGAATGGTGAAGCAGGTGGTCACTATGAGGTGTGATTATAGGATCCCAGCAATGCTCGACCCAGCTGAAGACAAACTTGGGACACATGGGTTACTAAACTGTATGTCCCAGATCCTGGCACAGAGTGGATGTTGTGTTTATCAGCTGGAGAGGTGGTTGAGTGGATGGGTGAATGGATGTGTGGATGGATGAACAGATGGTTAGAGGGATAGGTCTTTGGATGGATAGAATGGTGAGTGGATGGATAGATAATTGGAAGGATGAAGGGATGGATGACATCCTCATCTAGCTGTGAGTTGTCTTCCATGGAGCACTCCTTGCTTCTGGGTCACAGAAGGACTTTTAGGCCTGAAGGTCCTGATGGGAGCTCCTGAACCATGATCCCTGACTTGTCTCATGACTCTCCTGGGCTGTGATGTGCATTCACCACTCCCAACTTCTAGATGCTCCTTTTCTCTACAGTTCTTGATTTTTCCTCCCAAAACCATCATACATTTGACTCCTCAAAGTGCCACCCCAACAAATCCTGTCTTTCAGCTGCATAGTTAGAGAGGCCCAGGACATTGCCTTCCTACCAGCCATCCCTTCATCTGAGCTGCCTTGGGTCCCAGCTGTCTGTTCCCTGGAGCAGGGGCCCATATAGGCATGAAAAGGCTGGTGGCTGTCTGGTTTCCATTTCAAGCTTTATTGTTTCAGCCCCTCCCACAGGCCCTGCTCTGTGCCGCTGTTCTTGATGCTAGTCAAGCTGGGCCAGCTGTTCTCCACAGGAGCTGGTATATCTACTCAAAACAGGCTGGGGACGATGTAGTCAGTGTGTACACCATCAATCAGCCCTTCCCCATTGTTGTGGACAAACCAGCAGAAAACCTTCGTACCGATGCTGGCATCTTTCCCGTAGTCTTTCTGGGAGCCCCTGGGAGAAAGACAGATGCTGTCATGGAGGGTGGGCAAGATGTTTACTAAGGTCATGAATCTAAGGTTAAAAAAGGGTGTGAAGTTGGCAATCCTGAGGCCCCAGAAGTTTTTGTTCAAGAATGGGAGTCACATGATTATTCTTTCCAAGGGTCAAGTTTGTCCTTTTCCTTGATTAGGAGGGGCATAGAGGGGGGCAAGACCCCAGAGAGAAGGAGGGCACTCTACAGAAGACAAGAGCCCACCAAGCAAATGTGCCTGTTCAGAGAGGGCACTTTTCTTCTGTCCTGTTACTGGGCCAGATCAAAGGACCCTCCTCACCTGGTGACTGTCAGCCAATGGTTCTTCACCACCATTGTGGCATCTGGCTTTGTGGGATCAGAGCTTGGGTGGACATCAAACACTTGAAAGTCAAAGGGGTGGAAGAATTGTCCTAGGAATAAAAACATTCACACTGTTAGCCTCTGGGCATTGCCATAGGTAACATAGCCACTGGCATTTCAGGATTTATGGAAAGGCTGGGTTGTGTGTTGGGTACAAGGTGCCATGTGACCTGAATAGCCTGCAGCCTAAAAGGTCCATACCCAGCAGCCCATGTGTCTGCACTGACATCTGGTGACTGTCCACCACGTAGAAGCCCAGAAAGTCACGGTGGACGGGATGTTTCTTCCACACCTGGTGCAGGACAATCACAAAGGTAACACCATCTCCAAAGGAAACTATCATATTCTTCTTCCTATTGATTGTCACAGACACCCTAGGAGAGAAGAAGAGGTCAGCAGGTAGCCATGGATCCCAGGACTCATGACATTGGACATAGGATTGCAGCATGTCTTGGCAGGACCTTCCTTTTACATGGTATCTGGGAGTTCACAGATTCCAGAAACCATTTTGGAGGTGTGGGAGAGAAGATGCCTTACACATGTTATCCACACCCTCTACTGAGTGGTCCTTATTCCTCTCTGTAAGCAGGGAGAAGGGCTGTCCTGGGAGTCCAGAGGCCTAGGGTTCAGCCCCAGTTCAGCCACTGACTTCCTGTGTGACCTTGGACAGCTTCCACTCCCTCTCTAAACCTCATTGGGGGTAACATTTCCTGCACTGTCCTCCAAGCTCTGAGGATCTGAAGAAATAAGGAAGGCTGGGTAGTTTGAGAACTAACTAGTTCAGCCAGAGAAGAGGCATATGGGAATTATTTTTATTATCTGATGGCTAGATCTTCTGTCCAAGTAACTTTCCCTCAAAGTCAGTCCTGCAACATATCCAGCTACCAATTCTGGCTCTGACAGACCTTGCATTGGAGGCCACCATGGTTACCTATGACCTCTGGGGGTCTTCTGTCCTGCAATTTATTCAAGTCCCTCAAGAACTTCTTTATCCGCTAGGGCTGTAGCACCCCTTGGAGACCTATTGGAGGAATCTTACCCATCCTGTGTGACTGTGACTGTGTCCAGCCAGCTGAACGTGCTCTGTGAATCCCCATTCCACAGGGTGATCTTCTCCGTTGTCACCTCAATCCGAAGATCCATCTGAGCATTGGCAATCCCCAGTTTTCCAAAGTAAGTCTTTCTGGTCTTGGAGTCGGGGTTGACTTTCTTGTCGCCAATGATCTGCCCATTAACCGTGAGGCCTGTCGGGGACAGGATAGGGGGAGACCAAGGAGGCTTTCTGAGTCCAAGCTGGAATTTAGGAAAGTGGCATTCCCTTCAGACAGGCCTGCTGAGGGATAGCAGAGTTGGGGCCCGAGGAGAGAGCAGGACTTTAGAGCCCAGCACTGCCTGTCCCTGGGCATACTTGAGCCATGCTTGCTGCTGAGGGACTGTGTTGTAGACCATGCAGAGAAAATCTTCTCACCAGACACAGGCTGGTCCTGACCCCAGGCCCCAGGCCCCAGGCCCCAGGGCCAGGGCGTCCTTAATTCTAATCTCCGCAACACTACTTGTACCTGGGGGACTTCAGGAGTCTGTGGTTCTGGAAAGCACCCCCCCTCCCAGGGAAGGAGTGTGCTGTGCATATAGAGGTGGTGTGTCACTGAATAGAGTGAAAACCAGTCCATGTGGCCCACCTGTGACTGGGTCTTGGATGAGGCGCAGCACCGTGCCTGGGTCTTCATCGATGTTGAAGCAAATAGCGTCATCTTTCTCTGTGACTTGGATGATGAAGTGCGGGTCCCCATCCACTGAGGGCACATCAGAGAAGGGGCTGGCCCCAGAGCTTCTCACTATATCTGGGGCCTCCCCTCACCTTCAGGGCCCTGTGGGGTGGACTCTCAGATAGAAGGTGCTGTGCCCAGGACCCTGTACCTTGCCCCAGGCTCAGCCAGGGGACTCACCGTAGTAGTAAGGTGTTTGTGGAGGCTGGTAGTTGGCTGTAGACACAAAGGCGGAGAGGGCTGAGTTGAACAAGGAGGCTGGAAAGATGCCAGAACCCCCACCCAGAATTTAGCTCATATTCTTTTCCCTTCTTGCTCCCAAATGCTCCCACCTCCCACCTCTCCTCAGGACACCAGTCCTAGATTTCTGATTCAGGCAAGACCCTAAAGCAAAATGGGGTGAGATCAAGCTCCAGGGAGTGGGCAGAGGGGGCTGCAGCAGGCAGCACATACTCACTCAGATAAGCCGTGGAGGGGCTCGCCGACCTGGCTAAAAAGAAGCCAAAGTGCACCCTGAGAGGGGTTCCCTCTCCCCAACCCCATGCTTCTGTCTGTCTAGGGGCCACCAGTCCCCAGGGGGCCCAATGCTGGCTGATAGAGGGTGGGGATGTGACCTCTAAGTTTAGGCTATAGATACGGAGGGAATGCCTAGGGAACTCCTTTACAGGGCTGGTGGCAATAGGGGTATACTTTTAAAGTTAAGGACATGGCATTTTGATACAGCTACAATGCAAGCCATTAAGCAGTCAGCTTCTGTCTCATAAGTAATACTCACAGCAGACGTCTCCCTCACCCAAACTCCCTTTCTCCCCCTGTAGGGGTGAGGTGAGGCTTCAGCTCTCTATTGCTATTGGTAAAACACCTGCCCACCCCTACACACGTACACACAGGCACATGCACACACATGTGCTCCCACATGCAAACACAGTCACACACCTGTACACGTGTGCACATAAATGCACATACACACGCATACCACTGGCTGTACATTTGACAGGAATGCTGTCAGGGGAAAGAGATGAGCCAGTCCAAATGTGCTGCTTGCACCAGGCACCCCCTTGTGGACAGAGGCCAAGCAGGCCAGTAGAGGCTGGGGAGGCTCTGCCTGGTGTGTGTGTGTGTGGGGGGTGCATTTTTAGAGGTTAAGTTCCAGTTTTATGATGAGAAAGGTGTAGAGTGCTGTGATAACCAGCATGGGCAACCAGGCTGCCTGGGCCCAAGACCCTGCTCTGCCATCTACTAACTTAACTCTCTCTGCCTCAGTTTCTTTGTTGTAAAAATGGGACTCATAAGAGGACTCCTATGGAGGGTTGCTGTGAGATTAGTAGAGCATAAATGTCCAGCATTTAGTAAATTGGCAAGTTTTTACAGGCCACCAAGCATCCTTACACTGACTGTCTCTTCTCAGGCAGAGGGAGCCTCTCCTATTCAATGATGAGAACCCTGAGACTCAGAGAGGGGCAGAGACTGGCCCAAGGTTGCTTGTGAATTGGCAGTAGAACTGGGGCCTGAGCCCGCACATGTGGATGCCCCTCCCTAGATGGGGCATCCCCAGCTTGCTTGGAAAAGCCTCCTCTTTCTCTCTTGTCTCCCCGCCCCCTGACACCCACCCCAGCTGCTGGCTGAAGCTTACCTTCTGCATCCACAGGCACCATGGGGCAGGAAGAAAAAAATGTTATTAGAAGTTGAAAGCCATTAGCATCAAGGTCAATGGGACTGATGGAAGGGGCCTAAGTAGTGGCCAGAGCTCACAGCCTGGCCAACCCAGCCCCAGACCACCAACTTCCCAGTAGCCAGCTGGGCCCCTATTAAATCTCCCCTGTAATCAAGAGCTCCTGGTGACCAGAGCCTGGTCTGGCCCAGCTCTGTGCCTCCCATGCCTCCCAATGCCACTCCCATGGTCCACCCATGCTCAGTCACAGTGGGCACTCAGGACTCCCCTGTTGAGTAGGGAGTTCTGGTCCCAACCTTCAGTTCCAAGGGCCTCTCCTAATCCCCAGATACCTGATGTCCTGTTCCAGGCCTGACTTTCAGGCTGGAATTGCTTCTTCTAATCTAATTAAGGCCTTCCATGCTACAAAGTCCCTTCCTTTGAAATGGCCCCTGGGCAGCATGCCTCATTAAGCTTAGCCCTTCAGAGACCCAGAAATTCTTCAGCACCCCACACTCCACTGTCCGTGATGACCACTTCACTCTCTCTCTCTCTGTATCACCCTCCCCAGCCCTTGGCCAGTTTGTCTTCAGATGCCCCCTGCACCTGGCCCTCTTCAGCAGGTCTCAGTCTCCTCAGCCTGGCCCACTTCCTTCCTGAGTGCCTACGATCCAGGATCCTAGAGCAAGGCCTCCGGGCTCTGGCCTCCACTTTCTGTGCCCACCTTCCCCAGGTTTGTCAGCAATAGCTGTCTGGTCCTCATTGTCCTCGGGCTTGGTCACCACCATGGAGGTCAGTGGAGTCACAAAGTGGTACTTGAGGGACAGGTCCAGGGCCTGGGCTGTGAGGTTCTCCTTCTCCTCACCGTGAGCTTTCTTGCTGTGAGGACGGGCCAATTGGGAGGGTCATTATAGAGAATGGCTTCCTGCCTGCCTCCCCCCCTCTCCTGGCTTCTAGACCAGGCTAGGAGCCCCATCTCTACCTCCTCTACAGTGGGTTCCCCCAGGCCAGAGCCCATTGGGCTTCAGAAAAGACTGGTTCACAGCTTACTGGGGCATGTGGCCAAGCCCTGTACCTTCTGTGGGCCTCAGTTTCCCCACCTATCAAACATAAGGTGCAATCCTTCATGTTGGCATATGTGCCAGAGGCATTACAGGGTTATGTCAATTAAGCTAACTATGCCATCTGCCCTCTCAATTGGGCCACAATCTCTGCCCCCTTGGGGAGCTGGGGCTGGGATCCCAGGCTTCAGTTCTGTTCAGTCTCCCATCACTGTGGGGCCATGCTGATGTGGGGACAGATGCTGAGTCCCCTCCTCTGTGCTCTAGGGGCTCCCAGCTGCTGGCCGTGGCAGCACTTGCCCATTTGAGCCCTGGGATGATGCACCAGGAGAAAGGGCACAGGGTTCCTTACAGACTGCTGTGCCTTCAGACTAACACTCACTGTGGCTAGGCTGAGAAGAGGGCACAACGGGTGAGAGTAAGGGTGGGGTGAATTTCCTGAGGTGCAGCAAGTCCTGCTCTTCTTGGCTCCCTCAGAGCATGGCCAGCACAGGGGCAGGCAGAGACAAGTGCCGGGGTGCTACTGGCGCTCCAGGCATAGGGCCAGGCAGTGTGAGGGGGACCATGGTTACCCTTTCTCCAGCAGCTGCTCAATAGTGAGGTAGGCCCAGAGCCGCTCGATGTAGTCCCCAAAAATGTAGTCTTGCTCCTTCAGGGCCTTCTCCATCTCCTTCAAATCCACTTCCTCCGTGAAGGTCAGGTCATTGATGGCCTAGGGCAGGGGATGGGAGTGGGGAACAGTGGCGATGAGCTTGAGGACTGGGAGGCCTAAAGCCAGGTGGTCTGGGTTCCAGGACAGCACTCCTGAACTGTCAGCTAGGGGGCAGAAGCCCAGCCGTACAGACCCCACCCATCCCTGGCACATATCCAGGCCTGGCCCAGCTCACCCCGTGTCCCTTCACGTCAGCCTTAAATCTGTTCATGTCCTCGTCCAGCAGGCGCCCAGCCACCACGATCTCAGAGCCGTCATAGTAGTGCTGGTAGTTGTTCTGGGTGAGGTCCAGGATGGCGTTCTCAGGGTACTCCACCTCCACTTCTGTCAGCAGCGGGTTGGCCACCTCCTCGTAAAAGCCCTGGGGTCCAGAAATGGGACTTGGTCACCTCAGGCCACCAGGGGAGATGTGGAGAGGATGAGGCCGGCGGGGTCCCACTGGCACTGCTGCAGGTCAGCAAGTCCTTCAGGGCTGGGTTCTGCTCCTGATTTTCATTCCTATGGGGCCCTTTGGTTTGTGGGCACCCCGCCCCAGGATAGAGTAGTCCTTACCTAGGACTGGTAAGGATAGAAAAGGACAGAGTTCTTGGCATGTAGAAAATATTCAAGAGGTGTTCATCAGAATGAAAGTAAGAAAGAGGAAAGGAGAGGAAGGGAGGCGGACTGGAGAAGGAGGGCTGAGGATGTGGGACAGGGGACAGCTGGGGATGCAGGCACAGGGATCTGCCTGCAGAAGGGGGCATGCACTCACCTGAGTCGGGGTGTTTCTAGGTTCAGCAAGTAAAGTACAGGACATGCCATTAAATTTGAATTTCAGGTAAACTGATCATTTTTTTCAACAAACTTATAAAAGGAAACAAAAATCAATTGCTGTTGAGTCAACTCATGGTGACTCTATGTGCGTCCGAGTAGAACTATGCTCCAAGGATTCTCTCTCAGTGGCAATATTTTTGGAAATAGATTGCCAGGCCTTTCTTCTGAGGTGCCTCTGTGTGGACTCAACTTCCAACCTTTTTAGTTAGCAGCTGAGCACATTAACTGCACCACCCAAGGGGATGAGCATAAGTATATCCTATGCCATATTTGGGACATACTTACACTAAAAATTATTCGTTACTCATTGCAAATTCAAATTTAGTTAAATGGTCTGTATTTGATTTGGCAGTTCTACAGAGGAAGCAGATCTGTGTAGTATGTTCTATGTAGTCTGAGAGCAAAATCAGATCATTAGTGATAAATAAGAGGTGGCCAGAATCACCTTTAATCCAAATAATAGGTTGGCTTATAAAATAAAGAGTATCACCCATAGTACTTGTGCCCTTAAATAATCAACTATATGAGACTCAGCATTTACCCTAAAACAAAGCTAAGGTAGAGCAGGGAAGCTAGGTTAATGGAAACAGAACAAACAGAATGGAAATAATGAAAACATTGACACATTGTGAAAAATGTTACCAATGTCATGGAGCAATTTGTATAAAAATTGTTAAATGGAAACCTAATTTGCTGTGTAAACTATCACCTAAAACACAATAAAATATTAAAAAAAAAAAGAAGAAGAAGAAGAAGAACTGAAAAGTGTCCCCTCAAATAAAAGAGGATGCCAGAGGTAGATGTCAACCCACAAGGAAGCTCTTTAAATTGTCACACTGAAAACAGCTGCCTGAGGAGGTACTGAGCTCATCATTCCCGAAGGTATGCAAGACTGGGTGTACCTGCAACTGCAAGTTGGCATCAGAATCTTCATAAATGCGTCGGGCAAACCCATGGTTCTCCAGGGCCATACTCTCCAGGAAGTTATAATTCAGATTATTGCCAAAGCCCAGATTATACAAGGGGAACTTGCCCCCGATGGCATTCCGCACATTCTCTTGGATTTTTTCAGGTCTGCTTTCACCTACGGGAGAAGGTAATGTTCATACTCCAGCCATAGCTCAGTGAGCCCTGTGGATCAGCTCTGTCTGGAGATTTCTGACACCTGCATATGAAGAGCTGGTGGAGCCATGGCCATGAGCTCTTGTCACGGCAGAGATGGGGACCCCTGCCAGGGGAAGCAGCAGGGCCCTTGAAGGCCTCACAGGCCATGGGAGAGCTGAGAGCAGGCTATAGTGTCAGGAGTGGCCTCCAGGGACTCTTCTCTGGTTAGGAGCCACACCCGCTTTTCTCACCAGTGTTGGCATCCCCGTCAGTCAGCATGATGATGATGGAGGTACTCTTCTCTGGGACTTTATGCTCTTCCCAGGCCTTGTTCAGCATATTGATGCCTCTCAGCAGTGCATCATTTATGTTGGTCACTAGGACACAGACAGACAGAAAGCGTCCTGGGAGTGTGTCCTCAGGGTGCCAGGGTACAGGGATGATAGAATGGGGGCATTCAGGACAGCAGGCACTCCCCATTTGTCCCAGGACCTTGTCTGCCAGCACATAGTGGTGCTCAGTCAATACTGATGGAATGAATAAGTGAATGAATGACTTTCTCTCAAATGAGGATCAAAGGGCCAGAGATTCTCGGGACTGCTGGAAAGATAGAAGCATGTAGTAGCTATAAAAATTTGGAAACAAATGAATTCCCAGCTTCTCTCACAAGGAGAAAGGAAGGGGACCAGTGTAGAAGTCATTTGTGATTTGCTTCAAGGAATGAAGTGTAGGAGAAGGGTCTTCAGGACCATATTTTGTTGGGACTAGTGGGGCACCAAGATCATAGGTTAGGAAGGCAAAGAATGTTTCCTTAGACCCAGAGAAGACACTCGGAACTCTTGTGTCAAGCCTAAGGACCCTCATCCCTATCCCTACCCTGAGTCAGGGTCTGTAGGTCTGGGACCAAGAGTGACTGCCATCAGGTAGGAAGGAAACGGGCTACTTAGGGCAGGGAAAGGAGCTGGCAGGGCATATCCGCGCTCCCTGCACTTACTTCCTCTATCATTAATGTTCCTCACAAATGCTTTGGCCTCCTGGAGGTTCTCAGGAGTAGCTTGTACTAAGTTTTCTTTCCAAGTGGTCACGTCACCACTGAACAGGATGAAATTCAGGTAGTCATCCTCTTTCATATCCTCCAGGATTTTGAGGAGGGCATCCCTTGTCTGGTAAAGAGAGAGACAGAAGCTGAGGGCAGCTGCAAGCAATGTCTCCTCCCAGCCCAAATTGGAGGCCCAGTGGTGGTGGTGCCATCTGTGCTACTGAGCCATGTCTGAGGCTCTCCACAAAAGTGGGTCAGATGCTTTGTGAGTTAAAGATCTTGTCCCCCTTCCTCTTTCCTCACCAGAAATATCAGCTTTTTCCACTTAAAAAAAAAAAAAAAATCTCTTCCTTGATCCTTCTCCACCACTTGCACTGAGGGGAGTACCTGCTCTATTTTCCGACCAGCCATGGAGCCACTGACGTCAATCACAAAGACCACATTCTTAGGCACCACTGGAAGGCCTTGAGGTGCAAAGAAGTGCACAAAATAGCCATTGACTATCTGAAAAGAGGAGAGAGAGAGAGATTGGAGGCTGTTAGCAACATCATTTTGCCTACACTTGGAAAAAGAAGCCAGGCATTTACCAGCCCAAGAAAAATTTCCTTCCCCACCTTCTAGGAGGTGCCACACAGAGGCTATGGACTTTCTGCTGTCCCATGTCTTGCAGGAAAGCTCAGTTAAAACTGAGGGTTGAGGGTGGGTGATGGGACTAGGTAAAGCTTCACCCCTCCCCACACCAGCCCTCACCCCCATTTACTAGCCTGGCACCAGATACCTGTACATTGGCAGGAGACTCTCGGTTCACATCATAGGTAATGGTGAAATCCCCATTGAGGAGGGAGTCTGTACAGGTTGGACATGAGCGCTGCTGTTCTAAGCTGGGCTTGAAGGACACATGGCCCTGAAGAAGAGAGGCAGATAGCCTTGGTCAGTTTGGCCAGGGCCCTGCCCACTAGCAGACCTCACACTGGGGTAGAGTGGGATGTGCGACAAGGTGAGGACTACTCATCACAGAGATGAGCTCTCAGGTGGGCAGCAACTGGTGAGTGCTGGAGACTTGGGTAGTCCTGCCCAATATCTGGCTTGCTCTCTAGCTCCCTGGACCCGGTGGGTACTATTGTTCAACATGCTCCAGCCTCTCTGAGCACCTCTTTCTCCCTTGGAGAGGGAGCTCCTCGAAGGGCAAGAGCATTGTCTGACTCACCCTTTTATCTCTTCCCTTTCACTGCCCCCCCCCCCAAGTCCCTTAACTCATCCTTCCTTGGAGCTCAGCACTGAGAAGCTACCTTCTGAAGGGAGCTTTGCATCATAAAAAAGGAACTTCATGTTGGGTGATATATCATGTTGGTTGTTGGAGGGCTGGTGCCAAGAGGAGAGGAGGAGTAGGAGAGGAGGGAGGAGGGAGGAAGGGATTCCTGGGGTAGGGGCACTGCCCTACAGAAACCAGGTAGCCCTTTAAGTGTGTGCTCTTTGGGCCTTGTTCTGAAAGTTCCGAATGACCAAGGATTGTTGTTTATATAACAGTTTAATATAAACATTTATTCATCTACCACCCTCTCCAGCAAAGACTCTGGAATAGCTGGAGGCCTTGGGAATTGGAGCCAATGGCCCAGCATCAAGAATGAAATCCTCTTCAGTCCTTCACCCCTTGATGTCAGTCAGAACATCTAAATGACTCCCTCTGGCCTCAGTTTCCTTATCTATAAAACAGAGATAATTACCCCTGCCCACCTCCCTAGGTGAAATAAGATGGACTTTATAAATGGTTCCCACCAGTGCAATTGAGACCCTCAATCCCTCAGGCAGGTTACTATCAGCAGCCCCTTGCTCTAGCATCTCTTCTTCAGTGAGGAAGAAAGGCAATGGTTGCAGATTAATTTCCATCACCCACACACTTGCATTGGTCTAGCCCTGGAAGGCAGGCTTGTCCTACTGGGGTCATCATTTTTGTCCCCTACCCCCTAGACCCAAGAGGCATCTATCCCACCTTTTTCCCTGAGAAGGACTTGGTGAGAGCACTGCCCAGAAGGTCATTGGTGATGAAGGAGGCCTCAGCGTCCAGCATGCTGATGCCCTGGGGCTCAAAGATGTCTGCCTCAATCTGAAATGGCCAAAGGAGATGGGGTCAGTGACAGTGCAGGGGCCAGCCTCTACTAGTACAAAGCTGTGAGAGCCAATCCTGGTGTCTTCCACCAGAAGAAAGATCACAGGGGCTTGTGGAAGGTACTCTGACCCCAAAGTATGTTCACCACCTGCCGTATGGTCCCCAAAATTCCACCACCAAGGTGTTTCCATTGGCTTTCAGCTTTATGTAGGTAAAGTGCCCATGTACCCAGTTACAAATATTAAAGAGACATTTTGTGATTTTGTGATGTGCCAAGGGCCCAGGATCAAACCTGAATCTATCAGGTCCAGCCCAGCCTCTCTCCTTGGCTTCCAGCTGCTGTGGCCAGAACACTGTGATTCCCCCAAGCTGTCTCAGCCAAGCGGTGGGGCCCTGACTTTTGCATTCTTGACCCTGCTCTGAGTTCTGCCCCAGTAGGACCTTGTTGCACCTTCTTGCAGTTTCAGCCACCCTGAGTCCTGCAGGGGCTGCAAGAGTGATTGATTACCTCAAAGTGCTTGATCAGTTGCTTGGGCTGGATCTTGAGGTACATCTCATACTTGCCCTTGTGTCTCTTCAGCAGTTCTTCATAGGTTAGCTCAAAGGTAACCTTACTGCCTGCAGCCACATTGACTGAGACAGTGAATTTCTCCAGCTTCCTGCCAGAGGCCCTAAATGGGAGTGTGAGATAGTGACTGCCCTACAGATTCCTCGAGCCCACCCTTCCTGGGCCCTAGATTCAAGTCCCAGTCCTTTAGAGGAATCTCTAATTACTCTGAGCCTCGGTTGCCTCAGCATGAAAATGGAGTAATGTAAGAAATACTGGCATATTTAGCTATAATAATGATAGTAATAATAGCTGGTTGTTGCTTATGTCTCTGAAGACCCTTGAAGCCCAGATGTTTTCTCCGAGGCCTAGACTTACTTGACCAAACCAGCTGTCTTGCCCTGGGACACAGCTTTCTCATATTGCTTCTTGGCAACTTCTTTCTCTTTGACATTCCCAGGATAGGTAACACCATCAATGGTCCTGTGGGGAAAGAGAATTGTGGAGTCACTCAGGGGCAGACCTCCCTCCCCAAGCCCAGAGTTAGCAGCCTTGGTGACACTCACAAAGTGAAGTTGGTGATGAAGGCTGTTTTGGGCAGCTCCACGTCAAAGGAAACCTCCTTGGCCTTTTCTGCACGGTTGACGGCCCTTGTGGTGACGACATTGTGAGCAAAGCGAGAGGTCACCTTGCTGATGATCTTGGTGCTGTAGATCTCAATGCCATCCACCACCTGTGGATGAGGTGGGTGGTCACCACAGAAGCAGCTCTTCAACCTGGCCACTCCTCTCCCGGTGCAGGTTCTAAAGCCCCTCTATTCTCCCAATGGCCCAGGTCAAAAGCCTGGGTAGTATTCTCAGCCCCACAGTCAATCAGTCACCATTGTCCTGATGATTCTGCCCCTTAGCTCTGTAATCTGCTTTCACACAGCTGTAGTCAGTGACAACTTCTGAAAACCCCAATTGAATCCCACCCCTCTCCTGCTGACAGCCCACCACCTGGGGGTCTTCATCACCCTCAGGGCAGAGCTCCCACTCTTCTCCAGGCTCCAAGGTCCTTGGGTGAGTCCTGCCTCCCCAGCTCATCCTGTGCTCCAGCCATGCCCAACCCCTTGTAACTGCATCCAGGTGTTTGTATCTGGAGCACCTGCCTGGTCCTCTACTCATCTTTCACACCTCAGCTTCACATCACATTCCCAGAATCCACCCTCCCTCTGCTCCCTGTATCCTATGTCACCTGGAAACTGTCCCCCAAACAGACACTTATCTCCTGTACCGAGTGAATGCTTTGAAGAGGGTCTTTGTGCCCTCAGACGCCCTCCTTCTAATAGGACAGTGGATTGAGGGAGGCTTGGGGGAGAAATCTGGGTTAACATGGATGTAAAGATGCTCTGTGAGGATGTGATGGGGCCACTTCACTGTATGTCCTCAGCCCCAAGCACAGGCCCAGGTGCCAGCAAGTCCTTGGTAAATGGAAGGAAGAGATGACTGGTGGAAGGGTCGCCCCAGGCTGCCTCCCACGAGGTCTCAGGACATGGTTTTGTGATGCTCTTTCTTGGGGGTCTCACGTCACATGGAGTCTGCCAGGCCAGGGGGCTGTGAACTGTGTGCCAGTTTCAAGGGACCTGCCAGTGTGTCCCGCACGTTCAGCTTTTGGGCAATCGGCTCTGTCCTGCCCCGCCCCACCCTCTCCTTTTCCTGGTGAAAGTTCTCACCCCTTCCGCGAGGCTCCGTTTCTGCAAAAACAGATAAACACAGGGCTCAGGCAGAGGCCAAGGCCACCATAGCCTGGAGCTTCTCTGGGCGCAGGACAGGGCTCATTGGTGCCTCCCCCCCCCCCCCCCCCCCACCGCCCAACACACACATACACACACACTTTGGCCTGAACAGGAAGGGCTCTGGGTAGATGGGAAAACTGAGGCCCAGAGAGGAGCAGGTCCTCAGGTTACCCAGGGGAGAAGGGCAAAAAGAATTGGATCCCAGAGTTCCTCCCACTTCCCCATAGACCCCAACTCATTATGCCTCCTCCTGGACCAGCACCCTCAGTTCTCCTCCTAGGACCCACCCCTACCCTACTGCACCCCACAGGGCTCAGCTCAGCCTTTTGTAGAGGTTCCTGCACATGCTTAGGCTTTGGACCTTCCCAGCCCCTCCATGAGGTGAGCAGTTCATGGTGTCTGGCCCCATTTGGCAGATAAACTGAGGCCCAGAGAGTTGGGTTTTTTTCCCCTTTAAGTTCATGCTATTTTTATTATTCAGATTCCATTTTTTTTCAGTTGTGGTAAATATATAGGTAACAAAACATTTGCCCTTTCAACAATCTTTACATGTACGATTCAGTGACAATATGTTCATCATGTTGTTCAACCATCACCCTTAACCGTTCCCAAAGTAATAGCTGTAAAATACTTGATGAATTTATGTGTCATCCTTCTACAGGGGCCAAGCTAACCTCCTCTGTGTCATTCCAATTTTAATTTACATGTTGCCAAAGCAACCTAGGGAGTTTTAAGTGCCATGCCCAGGGTTAATCAGCAGGTCAGTATATAACCTGTCCTCCTAACGCCCAGCACTGTGCTCTACTGCTCAATATCCTCCTTTCTGCCCTCTTCTCACTCCACTTAGAGGACTCCCCCCACCCATGATACCTTCTGCCCACTTGACACTTCAGAACAGATGCTAAAGTGTGGGCAGACTCACCGCAAGCAGCCGGAAGGGGCTTCTTGGGATGCCAGAGGCTGCCAGGCCAGAAAGCAGGGCTAGGACGAGGCAGGACCACAGAGCGGATGCCATCACTGATCACGCAGTGCTGGACCGAGCTCCTTATATGAGACGGACTGATGTTTCCCAAGCAGGGTCAGTGACCTACAGCCCCGGTAGGGAGGAGCAGAGGTAGGAGGCTTCTCCTGGAAGCTGGGGCGTGGGTGGAGTAAAGACCAGTGCCCTGTGACCTGGACCTGCCTGTACAAAGGGGACCTGGAGGGTATTGTCAACAGTGTTGGAACTTCATTCCTGATGGCCTGGAGGACATGGAGGCCCTCCCCTGCCCCCATTCCCAGGAAAGCAGAAACTGTGCATTGGCTAATGGGCCCAGGGTCTCCCTGGGTAGGGATGATGGTGACAGGATAGAGTTGCATTTAGAGCAAACTGCTCTTAGCATCACTGGCTCTTACTGTATCACTGACTCAGCTTCTGGTCTGGTCTCAGGGTCAGCCTCTCCTCAAATCAGCCTGGCACAAAACTAGACCAGACGTATCACTTAAGGCAAGGCTTTTCTTGCTGAGCAGTCCTGGAGCTCAGCTTACTCTGTGATCTGGCTCCAACTTGTTTTTCTGAACCTACTCTCCCCACACTGGCATGCCCTCCCCTTCTCTGCCCAGCCAGCCTCAGCCTCCCTCTTCTGGACGCCTTCCCCTTCAGCCCCTAGCTAATCACAGAACAGCCCTCCTCCACACTCCAAGCTCCCTGAGGTCCTACTCTGTCCTTATGTTGAGGTTTGTGTGTTCGTGTTCAATTGTTCCCTCCAGGCTCTGAGCACCTGAAGGCCCAGGCCATGTCACACTCTGTGTTCCCAGGGCCCAGCCAGGGACTTGAATGCCCTTATCTCTCAGGCATTCATTCCCCTAATAGTTTCTGGTGAGGCTGGGGCTCCAGACACCAGCATAATGGGTGCTTCAGAGGCAGAGCCTGGTCCTCTCTCAATGGGCTGGGACTTCCTGGGCCATACCAATGCCCTGCCAGTCCCCTACCCCTTCAGGTGGTCCACCAAATGCCATACCCACAACTCCTCTGCAAAGTTGACCCAATGAGTCTCCCTCTTTGCTCACTACTGAATGAAGTAGATGAGGATAGTCAGATAGTTAATTTCTGGACTATGCCATAGCCTTGGCTGAAAGCTCTGAGCCTGTGACTATGAGATGCACAGAGAGAGCTGGCTGCTGGGAGCAGAGTAACAGAAAGAGAAGGCAGAAAGCAGATCATGAAGCAGTAGAAGCAACACAGCAGGACAGGGAAGCTGTGGACTGATTATTGAAAGTGGCCGGAAGCAATAACAGAGAATTGGCAAGTCAACAAAATGATGGCGAATTGACAAGATGCAGTTGATGAGGGATGTGGGGCTTTGTGCTTGAGGCCTGCTTGGTGCCTGTTTTCCTAAGGTCTGAATCCTTACTCAACCCGCCCCCTGCCAGTGGGCACCAAACTCAGGACTGATAGAGACCAAGCCCAGCAGATGCTGACACTGGATGTGGGGAGAAGTCCCCTTTAGAGCTGTGCTGCCCAGCCCTGCAGTCTGGCCCTCATGCTTCCTGGCTCTTAGGATGTCTTGTTCACGTCTTACTGTCAGAGCCTGTGGTCCCAGACCCAGATTGTTGCCCAATAGCTCCTCCCCATGGCCCTGCAGCTGCCTGTGGCCCTTCCCCAACCCCTTTCCCTAGGCCACCGTACATCCCCAGTGCTTAGGATTATGGGGGAGGGAAAACTCTAAGGATACTGCAGCTGCTGAGAGAAGGCTGAGATGTGAAGGGCCCCAGAGTCATCCTGTGGAATGTAGAATTTGATGGAATCTAAAGAGGTCTTGAGGTTCACCCCTATTCTCATATCCTGCCTGAAGGGAAATGAGGCCTGAATTGGACATGGCCTTGTCCAGGGTGACCCAGCTTGCCTTTAGCACACACTTCTCCCTCCAGAAGCCCAGGATACCCTGGAAGTGAGTTTGGCGCTGAAACTCATCTGTCCACCCCACAGTCTATCCCTGAGGGGCTCTGCTTTCCCCCAGCCTGGGGCAGCCTTTAAACTCAGCACTTCTGATACTGATCTGGGCCCTCAGAGCTAGCCCTTGCTGTATCTGGGCCCTTGCAGATCTCATGTGCATTGGAGCTGGACAGAAGCCAGCAGAGAAGAAGCAGAAACCCATTGGAAAGGAATGGTGGAGGCCCCAGCCGCCCTCACCTGAAGGGCCAGTGGCTCTGCAAAGTGTGCATTTATCCCCTGCACCTATGATGCTGCATTTTAATTGTGATACCAGGGAAGGAGACCTGATGATGTAATGTCAGATATTAGGGTAAGGTGGTTGTTGTTGTTGTTAAGTGCCGTCGAGTCGTTTCCGACTCATAGCGACCCCATGCACAGCAGAACGAAACACTGCCCGA